AGGGGAGGCAATGTAATACTTTGATGGTTTCTTCATCTATTCTCATTGCTTCAGTGGTCAATTAAGGCTCTGGGATTGCACCACCGCCAGGCGTCATGTCATCAAAATCAGAATTCGCAACCCTAGGCAATTAAAAGTTGAACTCTGCTTGGAACACAATCCACCAATCTTAAGGCGACGAAGCTAAAAGGCCGTAAATCTATGGGAGAATTGCCATCCGCATTTTAGCTAATTTTATAAAGGCGACACTTTGCACGACGCGCCAGTCGGAATGAGAAAGCACATGCACAACTCAAACGTAACGAATGAATGCACCCAAGTATGGAGAAGCGGGCAATTAAAAGTCGACTTCAGTTGGTGTTAGTTTCACTAGAAGACTGCAATCCTCCCTCTCCTAGTGCGCTCTTGATAAACTTCGGTGAAAAACGCCCACTACTCAGCGGCAAATGCAATTGATTGACTTGTTCCCGTCTCCATGCCTATCAGTTAAAAGACATCATTGAGTCTGATGGGATGCCCCAAAAATAATGAAAACGAACAAATACTGTAACAAAGGTGACATCGTGGTGTTGTTTTGGTGCTTTCTCTGGTAGACAATGAGAGGAGTGGGAGACCGACGCGCACTCAACAGGTGTGCCGCGTAAACTCATTAGACTGGTTCTTTAGACGGGGCCTACAAATGTAGGTTTGAATGTAAGGTGAAGGAAGGCAGTAATTAATCCGGTTTACCAAATTACGTTCCAGTATTCCGCAGATAACTAATTACTTACGATTTGACCTTGTGGCCAAGAGTACTTTAGCCATTGCTGTCAAATTAGGCAGCTATGGAGTCCTCTCTTGGGACAGAAAAGTTATGCTGCCTGAAGAGCGCGACGATCTACTAATGATTCAAAGAAGTAAATGTGAAGTTTGGATGCCAATATGAGCTCTCTAGACAAACAGCTATAATGAAATTCAGCAAATGTCTACATCATACCTTAGGTAGTTATTGTCTTCTTAAATGGATTTGTGGTACTGCTCACTTCTAGAACCATCAAGAGTGTCAATATTTACAGATTGGACAATGGACAAAAGTGGTGAAGCGCCACTCTGATCCTGAGCCATCCGATGGAACGTAAGGCTTGGATGATGACATGTGGAATGTTTTTCAACTAACCAGTAAATTATGGGCTTTAATAGGCTGGTAAAAATGCAGCCAAACTCATAATTTTTAAAAATGGAGGATACTTTTGAAAAAAAACAAATATCTACTTTTCGGACATAAGCGTATCATCATTTAAAAAGTAATGGGTGAACTAAAGTTACAGCTACAATTTCATTTGTCAGACTTTCACCTATCACTACGTGCACAATTGAAGGCTTCTCCAGCTTCCAGGTTGATATGCGTTGCGGTGGCCCGAGTCTTCCCTGAAGTCAAAAGATACCATAACACTGCAGCAGAAAGTGCAGAGGTGGAGCCCTAAGTGACCGAGTAAACAAACTGAGAGTTTATGCCTTTCCTTCCCTTTAAGCGTTGCCAACGGTACTTTTCTTGGTCAACCTTCGCTTCAGCCATTACAGCGTAGTTAGCGCTGTAGGTAAAACACCCACGAGCCAATATCGCCAGTCATTGAACTTGCGTGCAACTGAGACGGTATCAGACTGCAACATCACTGCTTTCTGTTAATATTTCCACTAAAATTTCGGTTTTTAACCTGTTTGGAAACTTTATTGGGAGAAGAGGGAATGTTCTTGCCATCACGAATGTCCACAGACAGTCGTAATAACATTGGCCCAAGAGCAAAGTCCATTAACAAATGACATTGTTACAACAAATTTTTAGGGATAAAATTCTGCATCAGTTCCTTCTTTCCACTTTTTTTCACTTCAGTGCTGCTCAGCCATGCCTATCTGGGTTGCATTTAACTAGTAGAGAGGTGGAGGGGACAGCTCATGTTAGACAAGTTGAACGCTGTGTCGATGCTAGCATAATAAAATGAAGTCAATTGTTTATTTTTCTAAATCTGAAATAAATAAGGCGATTCTTATTAGTTTGCCTGCATCTTGCAAACGTCGTTTGAAATTACATGTTCCTATTTCCTTAGACGGGAGTTAAAGAAAAACTATGGTAAAAAATCCTTGGTGTTGTTGACTTCCATCGTTATCATGGCTACCATTTTGAAGGAATGCTTTTGCATCTTTCATGCTCTCATCTTCTGTTGTGGAGAACTGCTGTATGAGAGTGTTGCCAACTCTACTGAACTGATGGAATTTCGGCGTAAAACAGAAGCCTTAAAGCCACGTTTACCTTCATAAGCGTGCCAAGCATGAATAAACTGGTTTAGTCTCAACCCAGCCTGTCTCCTGTACTCCGCAACCCTACAATTTCATTTTTCAAGCTAAGGAGATTTAATACGTTCGAGAGCTTAGCCCTCTACGTGTTTTTTAGCGATTTCTGGCGATTCATTATAGGCATTGTTTTTCATTTTAAAGAATTCGTTATCACTGAATTCAAAGAAGCTATTCAAATTATTTTATTGGTAGTTAATGGGATCGGTAACAGACCTACCTTTAGGCAAACACATTGAGTGTAAATTTTGTTCATTCTTGGGCCCAACAATAATGCCCAATCTTTTTAGAATAAGTTTATTTAAAATGAGATTAATCTTCTTGCTCGAAAACGCATTTATTAGTTTCTTTTGGGTCTGACTTAATCCTTTCGGTATTAGAGTGGTTGAGTTAACCACCACGTACTGAGTGAAAATGTAGCGTCGTCGACTAAATTCTCCAAAAAAGTGAGTGCTCATGAAGCAAAGCCCAAAAGCCGCCTTCGCATAGAGCACGCTTAAAATGACAATCTAGATATCACAAAGAGTCGAGGTACGCTATCAAAGCCAGAATGCCCCTGCAACTGTATGGCGCCGTAAACAAGGGATTCATGTGAATGTTAAAATTTCTTGTGTGTTTCACCGAGATTACTTGTTTTTACTCTTCGCTTAAGTCTGCAGTTTTATACCTCCACTGCGGGGCATTTTAGTCCTCCCCTCCAGCGCTTCTGTGCGTTGGGAATACATACTCTGCCCTGGTACTCTGTTTTCTATGGTCTTCAGGAAAGACCCGGTTCATTGTATTGTTCGCAGGGGAAGGCGAGCCAGATCCTAGAGGACATCTACCCTAACCTCTGTTACTAAAATGATAAGTCAACGTGACGGAAGAAGGACACATGCTGCAGATGGGAGAATCTGTGATGACCCCAGTTCCGTGTTCTGCAGGAAAGCTACTGACAATGAGGCGACCCTGGCCGTGAACGGCCTAGAAAAATTGATACGGAGCCGCCTGAGATAAGTACATGGAGATATCAACCAAGTGAACATGCAATACCTCCTCCATTAATCCACCAGACAGTAAGAACCCGAATCTGCAAATAGCTGGGCAGCACCGATGTAGGAACAAAGTGGCAATTAAACTTGGACTGATTTATCAAATAATATCTAGGATGACTTCTTTAAACTTTTTTGACCTTTACATTTTACGAACCTAAGCATCGCTTAAAATTTTAATGGATATTTATAAACCAGAATATTACGGATAAAGATAGGAAAAAGGCGTTTTTGGATTGAAAAGATCCGATTGCTTCCTCAACTTTCGCCGAATATGAGAGAAATTGGAATCAAAGAAACAAAATTTACTAAGGCTAGTCAAAAAATTGTTCGTTCCAAAGCTTTGCTTTTAATAGCTCACGAGTTCTGATAAGCGCACTCACTACAAGATGGAGGGAGTAAAAGCTACTTTGCACCCTTATTTTACTGGATTTAATCATTTCTTATTTGTTGTAGTAGTGATTTTATAAAGAAGATGCACCTTGTGCACCAAAACCATTACTTAATTCGCTTTTCCATTTCCTTTACTGAAACTCTAAAGCCATCCAGTTGAGGATGATTGAAGAGACGGGGTAAAGTCACCAAAAATTGAGTTCACTTCCTACACCTAACTGCTACAAACTCCATTTACGAACGCTACTTCTCCCCAGGGGACTACCTTTCCCCAGCCCAGGGGATTGGCATCCCCAGTCCATTAGCGAGGTCGTGACCTTCAGTTTGACCTACAGCGCGAATTTCGGTGGCCTTTGCCAAGCACTGACTGTGCAGCGGTACACATACAATTACAATCGTAACCACTGTTGTGGACACAACGGGAGGGTCTCCAAATTCGTTCATAGAGGATGCTAGTAATACAAAACTACTTCGCCAATGGGTAGTAATCGACACCAGCATTTGCTAAAGGCAGTAAAAGCCTTGGAATGGCATTTTTTCAGTCCTTGGTAGAAGGGAAACAATTTCCTTTTGTATCCGATATCGCTTTCTTTTTTTGGATAATTCTGAAGAAGTTGGAAAAATTTAATCTCTCCACTGACTAGAAGTAGTTTTAAGTGAGTCATGTCTCCTTTGATTTTCATGTAAAAGTTACTGATTAAACAGAATATCGTGATTTTATAATGAGAGGAAACCGCTGGTGATTATAGGAGAAACAAAACTTGGAACTCCTTGAGGTGCCCCGGAAAACTACCTTCAGATGGAGGCAAAAGTGCGCTTGAAAGAGTCTGTGCTTTCCAGGCTACTTTCGCCTCTCATTTTTTGTTTAGGCCTTGTTCTCCGAGATTTGGAAGTAACTTCTGAAAAGGTAATAAAGATTCACTTTTGAGTCTTTAAATAACGAAAAACTAAGGTTAGGACACGGGATTTAACTTTGAACTTAAGGCACTCTGCAAAGAGAGGTAAACTATGAAAAAAAACGAACAGAAAATTCGGAATATAGTGCAACTGACAAAGGCTGCCCGTAGCGGCCAGTTCGTGGTGGTAGCAGTGATGGCTGGGATTCACTGGCCCCTTCCAACCCAAACTACCTCAGCCCTTTTTCTCTCCTTCTCTTCCTCCACCAGTTTCTGCCCTGTTTGACAACTACCTCCAAGGTGGCAACAATTCATGAGCTACGGAAGGTCAGTTGATCCTAAGTCCAAGCGTCTACTGCCACTCAGCTAGTGAATACCACGGTGAAGGCGTTGAAGGGGACTCTCGTCGAATCAGACCCTCAAAAATCTCCAGTTGTGGTGATACCGCTGCAAAGCTTCCCGAATGTAATGCTTCCTTGTCTGCCAACTGCTTCGGTCTTGATGGAGAATGCATAAGGAGTCCATCAGAGCCAGTTGCAGTCCCTGCCAACACACCAAGTTTAGATAAAACTTACCGTATTCTGTAGTGAAATTAGGAATCCCAACTTGTATCAAAGCATAATCATAAAATTGCTTACTGCACTTGGCCTGGAACTTGGAGTGGAAATCCGCAGCACGCCTGAATTTAAACCATCAGATGGGTGAGGTTTACAGGGTTTCACTAAAGAATGACCTAATATTTTTAGTTAGTTTTGCGAACAACATCTCCGCAAGCATGGTACCACCTATCCCCTAGGTGAAATGAGCTGTCCCTTCTTCCCACAAGCCCATGTGGACAATCTGACTTAAAGGAAGGTAAGGCTCAACTTATGGCGACTAAAATTAATCACTTTTGCTTTTTATATGTTCACTATTTAATAGCAAAACTGTTTACGATGAAAAGTTGTTTGGTATTAAAATACTTTGACAAATGACCTGCTGTGTCATGTATAGGCGGAGGCGTAGAGCCCTTTGAACTTTAATTGCGGAAGAGTCACTGGACAAAATTGCACTTCTGTTGAGAGTAATTTCGCTGGCTTCTACTTTTACCGACTCACAAATTATAAATGAAGGAAAAATTGCTGGATAAAAGTGCTTCTGTAGCTTACCTAAATTGCGTGGTCAGAAGCGCTTTTGCCTCCCAGTTGTTCCCACTAAACCAGCGTATCAGGTACCCTCGCGGAAGGAATTATATCCTCCGATAAACAAAAAGATGTGGCATATATTTCCGCGGGGCAGAATAAACAAAATACCGATTAATGAGGCTGACCTTACCTTTATACTGGCCGCGCCTAAACTTTCGAATAAATGGGAGAGCTGTATCAGCGAGAGCCTTAGTTATTACATGGTTGGGCTGCCACCTTTTTTTCGTGTAGCTGACGTAGACTTCTCTAACAACGAAAGAAAACATGAAGCTCGGTAGAATATGCATTGTGGGCATAAAGTAGAGCTTGGAACTACTGACATAGCCCGAAATCCTGGCTGCTTGACGAATGTACAATGACGGAGACCCCCAAAGTGACCTGTTACCAAAATCGGGAGTTAAGCAAACAATTAACCTGCTACATTCTCATATTTCCATGCTCATGTACAACTGCCCCCACTGTGAATGTGATTCAACCGTTTCTTCACAAGGACAGCCTTTCGCTTTGGAAAAACATTTCTCATTTTCAAAAGATGGGCGCTATTGCTTTTATGTGCTATAGAGAAAAGTCAGACAAAAATAAGGAATTAAACGACATTACAACAACCAAAATTGCATTATCTTCTAAGACTTTTAGCACTCTCCTTTCGTAATTATAGTGTAAGGATTACCGCCAGAAATTTGTCATTTTTAAAAAGAAACGACACTGAATTTTGGTATTCATTCAGGCTGTAAATCTTAGTTCCTATTCCTTTTATTCAGACAAAATGTCAGTAATATAACCTAACAATTTTTCTCCTTAATAAATGATAAGTCCTCTTCAACAAAGCAACTTCTTGCTAATATTAAGAGCGGAACAATCATCAAGTTTTTTGCCGTCTCCTCTCCGGACTTCATATGGCATTCTTTTTTAATCAGATAGCATGTTGAGGAACCGCAGATGCATGGTATTCAGCGAACCGACACTTGCGACGTTATTACAATGCACGCATAATTTCTCGCTGACCCTTAGAAGTATCGTATGATCGAGGACACGCTAGCCAAGTCGAGACCTTTAACCTTATGGATATAAAAAAGCATGCCACTGTGGCGGTACTACACCGAGGCAGTAAATGGCGAGTGTGACCTGCCTGAGATAGCCGGTGCGTACACCGTGGACCACTCCGCGCACCGTCAATCAAGATGGCAGGCAAGATCGTGGGGTGATGAAATTTCTTACATATATAAACACAAAACACAGCGATAGGACAAATGGCTGGGGTAGGGCACTGAGTTTGAACGGTTTCACCTTTTCAAAGGGGAGTGATCTCAGTGACGATCCTGGCCGCAGCAGTTTCTGGTCTACAATCGCATTAATTATCCCCGCGATCATTTGGTTAACGCGTTTAATACCTGAGCCTCAACTACTATGTGTTGAAACTGCACAAGCGTTGTATCGTTCTGCGAGAATGGTAAATACACCACAATCATTCACAAACATTAGCTATTTCGAAATTCAGTCCACGTAGGGTAAGAGATTACCTCTTCCACTTATCAGAGCCTCCCAGTGATTAGTTAATACTGGAATAAGTTCATAAATGTTGCAAGAGACAATCAAAGGAATGCATAATTTGACAGAGAGAAGCGTTATACCAGCATACTCCTAAAGTGAAGGCAAGAAGTGACCAACCGAAGTCGTATAGCCGGGATGGCAGTTTAATGATACACTTATGTTATAGTACATGTAGCGTAACATACAACTAATTTCTATAAGGTCTTTTACACACCTACATACAATCACAAACAGGTACAGAGACACAAGGAAAACAGATAAACGGCCATGAATGAGTTCATCTTGTGCGTAGTGTATATAGAGGAGTATAAGTCGTGTGAGTGGGCATGAGTGTGAGGGCGAATGAGAAGGAGGCAGCGAAATAGGAAAGACCGCTCGTGAATAGTAACGACCTTTGAATGCTTAATTATAATAAATAAGTGTAGGTATATGTAAAAAGGAGTAGAGAAGGGATGGGAAGAGGGAAAAATTACACAGCAAACGCTTCATTGGCTGCAGCCGGTGAGGTGGTTACAGCGCCAACAATCCGACGTCGTCGAGCCAGTGTAGGAACATCGAATCCATGATGGTCGCTAGCGGAGGCAGCGGCGCGACTGCTGTCTGAGGAGTCACCTCCACCTCCACCATCACCACCACCACTTCCTCCGGCACCACCACCGCCGAGAGCGGAAGCAGTAGAGGAGAGGATGGCCGAGAGAGAGGAGGAGGAGGGTTTGCCCTGCATAAAGTGGGTCACCAGGTCAACGGGCATTGGGAAGATGATGGTAGAATTCTTCTCTGCCGAAATAGTACTGAGGGTCTGCAAATAGCGCAGCTGCATGGCGAATGGCGACTCATTTAATACGTCTGCTGCTTCCTTCAAGGCCTGTGAAGCCTTTTGCTCGCCTCTGGCTGCAATAACCTACAATTTTTTTTAATGCTTTTCAATTACTGAGATAGTCGGAGTTGGTTGTGGCATATTTGTTAAGGAAGTTATTGCGAATGCTGTTTATACATTCCTGTCTCATTCAATTACGACTCGCGTTCAATTTCACCCCTAAAATGTTTTAGCAAAGAATGTTGTTTCACGAATTAAACTTCGCAGAGGTGCGGTAAAAGCAGAGAAATGGGAAGGGGTTCTAATGGAACCCAGATCCTGACCAGGAGAAGTAATTAAAGGGAAACGAAAACACGCTTAAAATAAAATAACCTTTTTATCTAAGCAAATTAAATTGCCAACCTTGTATAGAGCCTATATGAAAATTGGCATGTATTTTGGATTGAGCTAGGTATGGAAAGCGAATAAAATTTAATAATATGGAGCAGCAGTAATCTGTTTAATATATTTTCTTACAATTATAGAATATAAACCCCACTTTGTTTTAACGCCCTAAGGAATTATAATCTGATCATTGTAAATGAAATGTTTCCCATCATTCTGTTAACAGCTACCTAGTAACGTCGAGACACAATTGTTTACTTTTTCCGCGGCAAAAAAGGCTAATTCTGAAGCAGTATTTCGTGTAAAATTAGTGCTACTTCAATTAATGCATTACTGACGAGTTCAATCTAATGCTTCCGACAGGACTATAATGGAAAACAACGCTTATGTGTTGGGTCGCCCCATTTTTCGTGATAAGGGCACGGGTCTGGAACAATTTTTGAATGTGCGAGAGTGAAGATACGCCATTAAGGACCACGTCTAAGTTAACCATTTTTCTTCAATTGAACAAAATTCCAACGCCTAATCTACGATCTTTCTCAAGACTTGGGCCTCATTAATTTGCTCTTCGAAATTCAATCATTGTGGAAGTAAGGGGACAGCTTACCGTTGTTCCACTGATACATTTTATCCCAAAGTCAAAACTCATGTGAAATGTGCGAGCAAAAGTATCAAGGGAAAGGAAAATTTATGGCAAATGCATCCTATCTTCAAGCAAAGCAAACAAACACAATGCGCAGAGCAGTCTATTGGGCACATCATGGAATCTCAATTTTGAAGAATGAAGCATTTTTGTTGTAGGTGCAAAATAATGGTACCTCTTTTGTTTTATATCATTAAAGTAGAAACCATAGATCCCGGAAGTACTGCATATTTCCCACTTCATGGTCAGTTGTCAAGGTGTCGACGCCGTTTTGTAACTGTCTTTTCTATCTCGTAACATGTGGTACAACAGGCATGAGCGAATCACTACCAACTGTCTAGTAGATAGGTCAAACTGTCTTTGGGGGTTATCAATTTACGTACGAGGAAGTCAAACAGCTTTTGGACCGCCTTAAAAGTACAATAGTGGTGATAAAATGACACAGAGGTGGCATCGCCTTTGTCTGACTTATTAATTGCAGACGGAATTGAATTCGCGAGAAGCTTCCTGCAGTTTGCAATGAGTGTAAACAATATCTGGTGAATTCGTCAAACGTAGGACTACTTCTCAGGTATTTTATCCTAAATACATGAGGAATTATGTCTGCAAAATTTACCAGCGGAGCGTTCTTAATTGTTCTTTTGTTTATAATACAACTAAGGTTCATTGCAAAAGAATGGCCAACTTTTAATGTACTCGCTTAAATTTAAGTCAAAGCTGGGAACAAATGCCTCTCGTAGAGTGAATGGTCATTTTAAATGGAGGAGCAGCGAATCCGGCCTTCCGATATTTGAAGCTTTTATAATTGTGCTACCATAAGTGTTTATGTGGTACCAGACAGTAGTGGATTCAAAGAAATTCTAGAATGCAAGTGGCCCGATGTCTCTTTCACACAGAGGAGAAAATTGCTCTTTCCCAAACTAAAGGCCATTTATACTTATTAATGCAAATATGATTATCATTTCACCCAACACATTACCAATCTCAAACGCATCCCAATTTTCAGAGTCAATGAGTAGTATTGACTTAAGAAAGCGTAACAATTAACACCAAATATAATTAATTGTAACTTTTGACGTCTTTTGGTGTCATGGCTCAATTTCATACAGGCCACCCCTACCGACAGCGTTTGATTAAAATTCCTTGAGCTGACTTAGATCAGCCTTTTTTCCATAAAAAGGGTGATTAATTTAATCCCATTCAAAATTACCTGCGCACGTTTAAACGCTATAAAATTTGGCATCTTAGTGATGAAAATTGTTCAGATCTGATTAAGGCTGATACGGAACTCAGTACCGTTTCATTCCGCCTTCAGTAATGCAAACCAACTCCCTGCACCAACTCTTTTTTTGCAGAAATAAAGTGGCGCCTGTTTCTTGTTTTTATCTGCGCCTTCTGAACTCAATTACGAGTAGAGTGAATGACCCCGTCGGCTTTGAAAGAATGTTGTTTGATGGTGTAGACTTATGCTGAATTTACGCAAAATTTTAAACTTAGTAAAAGGTACGCCAAAAAAGAAATAAGCCCACTGATTAGGCAAGGGAAAATTCGCTGCACGCACAGCAGGTTAGAGTAGCAATTGTTCTAATTGTCGACTCTGCAGGAGACGGATAAAGCGTCGAAACAGCATTCGAGGGCAAATTCGTGACACTAAGCCATTATTGATCACAGAGAGGTTTTTCTTTCTTCTGCTTATCTTATTTGCTGTAATGGATGTAATTGTCACGTTTTTAGTGTGGCTGTTAGCGCTGCCAAATGTTATGAACACATAGCGCAGTGATTGGAGGAGAATCAGGAAATGCAAATAGAAATAATGTCCTACCTTAGCACGGGCCTCTCTTGTAGCTTCGGCCTCAGCAGCCATAGCACGTTGAAGCTGAACTGGCAAACGCACATCTTTTCTGAAAGACAAGAATCGGTGATAGCAGATGACATCATTTGGTCTGGGCTACATAAAAGACGAAGAGTTATACCCAGTGATTCTGCAAACAAAAAGGAGTTCACGAGGTCTTTTGAAACCTTTTCTAAAATTGTTCGAACCAAATAATATAAATAATCAAAGTCTATACGTTGTTTTACGTAATCATTTTCAATGCTTGACCATTCTTGTAGGCAATTTTACTGCTAGCTGGCAGACATTTTTCCACTGCAACAATGTTAGTCAACCGGGGAATTTGAACGCCTTTTGTCTCATTAACTCTGCAGAAGAGTAATTTGTTTACATCTGCAACGGCAGCGTAACTGGCATTGGCATTTTCAGTGTGGAATTGGCTTCCGCGTGTTTTTTTAGTGACTGAGTGAAACGTGCCCAACAACCGCAGTACCACCACCACCAATAACTAATAAAACCACCAATACTAAATTTCCCCTACACAACCTCACTTAAAGTTCGAACTCGAAGGAGTAATAAAGGCTAATAAAACCAGGGGCGGTTTATTTGATGTAACTGCCAAAGGTTGGCCAAAAGTATAAGGTTTGTTTGAAGATCAAAGTCGTCGTGCAGACGCAATTTAACCTGGGACTTTGTTACATTTCGCTTGAATCCCTAAACGACCTCTAATGAATGGGAACGGCGGTGAAAGTAACTCTCCTCTCTTAGCTTACTAATTGATTCTGAAAGCGAAGTGGACAAATAAAGTCTCCTTGCATTTCGCCTGACTTAATTAAGGTAGAGAAGAGAAGGTTTTTTTATCAAGTCCTCGGATATAAGTACGTTAATAGGAACGCAGGGAGGCATTTTGACAGCCAAGTTGATCCTTGGGTTATATACAAACGTAGAAGTTTTAAAGGTGAGATTAGCTGTGGAACAAGTCCAGCAAACGAGGGATGGAAGAAAAGAATGGGATGAGCGCTTACACCTCAACTCGCTCCACTTTCACTCCCCATGGGTCGGTAGCCTCATCCAGCATGGTCTGAAATAAAACGTATTAAAGTACATTCCCTTAGATAAATGAAATTAGACTATGCCTCACTAGTTGTTTGTCAAGGATTTTGTCTTCTACTACTTCAGCAAGTTTTAATTTCCACACTCCTCCTTGGTCAATCCCTCGTGGATGAAGTTCACTGCCATAAAAGATGCCTTTTGTTTGTTACTGTAATTAAGTTGTGGTTCTCATTCTCCTCACAGAATCAAAACTTGTCCTCACTTGACTCTGGGGGTGAAAGGTAGAGATGGACAAATAGGTGAGCCCGCATCTCCAAATTTTAGCCCTCTCACAACCACGCTCGTTGATCCACACTAACTATCATCCTACTCATTTTAAAACTTCGCTGTCAATCCAAAGATTGAAAATAATAAGTCGAGACTTATTTAAACCATATTTTTGACAGGGGAGAGACGAAATCACATACGGCCTGAAAAAATGCAAGCCCTACGATTTACGTGGTTGACTTTGGTGATGAGGATTTTGCAACCGACACACTTCATTTGATCTGGTATTTTCTGTTCACCTTTTCTTATTTAAGAGAGAGGGAGAGAAGACCTTTTTTACCTTTCTTGTAGCATGTTTTAGGCAAGCAAAAGAAGTAATTTTTATCAGAACGAAAGTGCAAGCAGCACGAATATGCAAAATAAGTCAACGTTTGCCATAACCACTGGAACAAGTCGGAATGGCGGTTAATCAGTTAGTGCGTGAGTTATTTGGTATTTGTTTATGTTTGTGTTGCCGGTGATGAATAATGCAACCAGCAAAGATGCCAACCTGCATCATGCCAGAGATGGAGTCTCTCTCGGAGAGAATGTCGGAGAGATTTTTGGTGCCGAGGACGTTGCGCAGTGTGGTTGCTGCCAGAAGCCTTGTGGAGCGATCCGCGTCCTCAACGTTGGTGATTGCTACCACCGGATTGTAGATTCGATAGTAGACCACGGCGTCAACTGCCACTGTGACGGAGTCCTTGGTGAGAACCTACAATGCGTCGTGTTTTCTTGCCAAAAAAGGCCGCATTAATGGTTCCCTCTGATGATTATTTTTCCAAGTGAGTCTGCTATGGAATAAAATTTCACTGCCTTCAGTGCCAAAATTAAACACCTTTTTGGGTAAAACTCATCCAACATCTGATAGTGTTCAGATTATCCCCGGACGCCTTTATCCACAGTTCGCCCGTTGGATCATCACGGTGAATCAAAGCCTATCTAGATAAACAGTCATGGGGTGTATCAAAAGGCGGTGTACAAACACACATTCAATGCCCTTTCAAAACTAAACAGGATACCTCCCTCCAAAAACATTACTAACTACCAGTCTAAAAACCAGTTACTAGATTCTGCTTTACCTCCTGGGGCGGAACATCGAAGGTGACAGTTCGAAGGTCGACTTTTCGGATCATGTCGAGGCAAGGAACAGTGAAAAAGAGGCCGGGACCCCTGGCACCACCTGGAAGGATTCGACCCAGTCGGAAAAGCACAGCCCGTTCATATTCTGCTATCACCTGAAGCGATTAAATGGACCACAATCAAGCTCTGTGTGCCTGGAGATTTGCCTGATTTGGCTGAATTAAGGGGTAAGCAGATAAACAACTTGACATGAATGATTAGCAATTTGTTTTAAAGCCTATGCATGATTTACGTTTGGCCCGTTTTGACTTCATCGGAATGCAAGTTTCATCGAACACGAGAGCAAATTTGATGGCACCAATGTAAACTTGGACTTGCCTATGTCAATCCGTGACAGTGAGTTTTGCCTTTTAATTAAGAAGCTGATTTGATGCAGATAACAACGGTGAAGCCCCGTCATCTAGTAGTACCTCAGAGGTAATCTACTTCACCCAGTAATTAAAGCCTCACTACTGCACTTAAAAATTCCAAATTTCTGGAAGATATTAAAACAACTGCCATATTTCCTCAACGCATTAAGACCGCTTTTATGCTCTCTCTCTCCCTCTCTCTCTCTCTCTCTCTAAGATAACATTTTTGACACGCTGAGCAAATATTGCCCGCCACAAGCCTTCCTCCGACATTCATATTTCATTAGGCTGTGTTTCGCATAAGGGCGAAAAGTTGGGTGAAGATACGGTGTTACGGCAAATGCTTTTTAATTAGAAGATGGTTGAAAATGCTGCCTCGATTTTTATTCGTATATTTATTAAGGGACAACTACTTGGAAGGGCTTAACTCCTGCTCGTGGACGTGCATGAGGCTGCAGTGGGCATGATTAAAGCAAGATATTTGTTTAAATAGCTGTGTAAAGTACATTAGAAACTCCTTTTTAAGCAAGAATAAAGATGCTTGAATACAAATAGGAGGGGAGACAAAGCCCCCTCTCCTGTGTTTCGGTATAAATACTACCTTAACACAGCCGTGGTTACACCCCAACAGTGTGGTTCTACCTTAACTTTGCCGACTACACAAACTGTGCGTTGTACTACCAGTTTAACATGAGCAGAGCATTTGGCAGTCAATTTCTGCACTACGAACAAAAGAGAGAAACAGATGTTTAAATGGACGTTTTAGCCCTCAATTGGCCAATGTTTTTCTGCCTAAAATTGGCGAAATACCAAATCCCCCTTAGGAATGTAATTTGTCTATTTTGAAAGGAGCAAAACTTTTTTGAAAGCGTACTAAACTAGCTGTAGATCTCGACTCATCCTCCAAAAGCAAGTTAACTTATGCCAATGATATAAAAACGGAAAACCTCTTTCGACTGCTTTCCCATTCATTCAATATTTTGTTGTTAGGCTGTTGTGAATGAATGTCTACTCGAATTAGCTTTCCCCCAATCACTAAAGAGAAGGTTTGAAATGACAGAGTCAAAATGAATGTAACCCTTCCTTATTTCTATACCTATTTAAGGGTGTTATATAATGTGTTTATTGTTTATTTAACTCTTCTTTTTGGTTTCATGAGTACTGAAGGCTCCGTTAATGTTCCTTCCCTGGGCGGCAAGTCTCTAGACCGTGCCAGTAGCACCCAAATTCCTTCTCTCCCCCCTGGGAACGTGCATTTCGCCCTAGTATTATGTCCTCTTCATATTCAAAGAAGTCTCGGTGAGCAGCATTGGTGGAACTACACTGAAATCTACTACTGGGTGATGAATCTTAACTCGATGGAAAAAGGACATATGCTACAGGTGGGATAACCTGTGACAACCCCAAAAAGGGTTGATAATGATATCTACATTCGGCAACTACCCCAGTCCCATATTTTGCAGGAAAGCTATTAACAATGAAGCTGGACCATCTGGAAAGGTTCGTTACGGAGCTGCCTACAGTACCTGTATGAAGACATCAATAAGGCAAACAGGCTATACCTCCTCAGCTTCTCTACTTGCTGTTTAGAACCCAGGTGGCCAAATGCAGCTGGGCAGCACTACGGTGAGGGCAAAATGCCAGGGAGGAATTTACGCTAAGCCAAAACAAAGAGTCATGGTGCTTTTAAAGAAAGAAACGCTTACATATATGTGTGTGTGACAGAATATGTCCCTTGTTTCAGTCATACCTGTTTTAATGGCAACTTTGGAAAGTTGTGCCTCAGCCTTTACGTATGAGGGACAGGGCTTTGGGAAATAGGCAGCTAGATAAAACCCGCGTTTGAAGACTTTGGATGTCACTCTGTAGTCATGACAACTCAATGATGAAAAAATAATAGCTTGTGCTGAAGGCTTGCACCACCACCACCACAAGTACTACTACTACTGTCCATCCGGTAAACACGAGAGAAAAATGGGGAACGTACCTTGATGCAGAAAAAAATTGAAACTGGAAACGTGAGCATGATGACAAAGTAAGAGAGAGCAAGCAGCACGTAGCTGCAGTAGCCCATGTCTTTGGACTTTGATATCGAGCCTAAAGTGCGTGGAAGAAAAGAAAAGAGAAGGGGAATCGTTAGTTTGTCTTGGTTAGACCTGAGGACTTGAGTAATTATGAGGTTAGTGTTAAAAAAAAAATTTACTGTCAATTCTTTTTAGCATTTCTGAGCATCGATAAGTGTAAGCAAAATCAAAAGCTAGTAGTAACCACTTTTCTCCACAAAAATCTCACCCTTCACCTCTGTCCTGGTTCCTCACAATTAATTGCTTCTAAAGAAATATCTCGTTCCACAGACTTGTTTTCATTGGGATGAAACCTTTAGAGGGTGTGGAATTGGACTTCGGTTTCCCTATCCCTCGATTCATTTGGTTTATTTAATGTGGCAGATTTCCACACCCTAATTCCATTGAATACTGATATAAGTAGCAGAGGGTGATAGCTGACTAGCTAGATAGATTGAGACAGTTAGATAGACGGAGAGGTAGGTGGATAGACAGCTAGATAGGTGGATAGACTGACAGGTGGATAGATAGATGGACAGGCATACATGTAGACACATAGGCGGATAGACATTAGGTAGATGAGTAGATGGGGGAAGAGGTAGGTTAGCATGCTGATAGGTAGACAGGCATGTCTGTAGATTGACAGACAGGGAGGCTGATTGACAGATGGGCAGACGGGCTTCGTGTTTAATTTTAGTGAAATTATCAAAAGGAGCTCTTTTTTCTGCTCTTATATATCCCAGAAATATGGGTTTAAATACTCCAAAAGATATTTTAATGTACAAGTAATGCTATTTCTAATGCAAATTTGCTATCGTCAATTTCATTTGGCAATTAAAGTGACCTTTGAAGAATCGGTCAGCGTGTATTTAGGCAAAAGGAGACATAAATTTTACGAAACACCACCCTGCTGTGATAGCACGGTTACACTTCAATGTAAATTTTAATTTGCAAAGCCTTTTACTCCCTGGGTGACTGATGGCAATCAGTTTTGATTTGGTTCATGTGAATAAGACAGTCACTTCAAATAAGGTTAAGCTTAAAAGCAAAAGTTGCGAAACTTCAATGACAAAGCATAACTCCACATTTACTCGGGGGTCTTCATCTATTCCAGAATTTAAAGTCTACAAAACTCCAAACTGTGAAGTGAGGTCGTTTCACTTTGATGGAATAGCAACTCCTGAACTCGATCCAATATCTAAGGCTCCGCAACCATCGGGAAAAGGCATATCGAGAGGTTGGCAGATTATGGTGCTTTAAAAACAAGAAAATAAGGCCCTTTTTGTGCCTTTTTCAATTGATGCACTATTTCCGAGAAGCGCTGAGAATTTTTCAGAAATTCCGCGTTGTGTGTCAATATGAACTCTACAGCAGGCAGTATCACTCAATCTTAATCTAATTCAAGAAATAAGACTTTTAGAAGATTTTTTAAGCATTTGCCTTTGCAGTATTTTACTTTTCTGTGGAAAAAAGGACTCTTATAAAGTTTTATTACTCAGAATATCTTTTTATACTTGCCATGATATCCAAGAGGTTGCGTAAATTAGATGAGACGCTAAATTTTAAGTCTCAGATCCAATTTAAATTTATTTAAGGCAAATTTTCGCTGAAACTTATTACTTGGATGTTTTAACTTTACCCACTACTCAGGTAATCAACTCTATGACAGTTTCCGCCTCAATTTGTTACATAAAATTTACTATTCGGAGCGAGGGTGGGACTCAAGGATGAAGGTGTGATCGCCTTGTAGTTTTCGTGCCTTTGTATAATCACGGGAAAGTAATGAATAATTATTGAGTAAGGGACTAGAACTCCGAAACATATCAATCTGTAAAAATACAAATGTTTATGCGAGGTTTCATTCGACTGCCTCCAGAGTCAGCCGAATACCACGTTATTTACCACCCCCTAACACATTTAACCGACTCCACCGAATCGTATCGCCAATCAGTCGATCTTATTTTAAACAATAAAGAGGATGTAGAATATCTAATGATAAATGTGTAATTTAGTTCTTAATGTTGTTTTCAGAACTCTTGAGCATTGGCAAATGTGATATTTTGTCAAAGCCTTCAGTAGGAGACATTTTTAACACCGAATAAAATCATTATTAGGCTTGGAAATTTTTCAGTATATTTAACCTTTAAATTTGCTTAAAAATATGATCCGACCAGGCTTTGTTTCTAAATAATAGACGCAGGACAATAGCTGTTGGTCTGTACCTCATCCCGTACACCTCTGGGAAAACGATTCAACACCGCATGCCTTATAGCAAGATATACATACAAAATACACTAATATATGCTTCTATCTGTAAGGATGGAGAGTAATAAAGCTAAGCATGGCAAACATTTCATTTAGTTTTTGTGTATTTTGCCTTTTTCTCAAGTAAAGAGCAGTTAGCAGACGGATGCAAGTCTAGTCAAGCCACAACCTAGTACTTATTCCATCTGGCATGGCTGAATTAAACCTTTGTCAGCCGAGCATTGAGAATCCTTGCTCTTTCGAGGAAGAGGGTGTGGTCATTTATGAAACGAACAAATAAATACAATTCAAAGCTTGCTTTCATGAATACAATGGAGTTCATTGTAGCCAAAACCCTTTTCTACTCACATTGAACCACACCTCTTTGCAAGCTATTGGTTTGCGTTTTATAACAACATGGAGAATTTTTTTAAAACACCTTTGGCTCTGGTATTTTTAGATAAAGGAGATATTTACTCTTCCGGCAGTTCAGCAATTAGTGGTCCGTGTTGCCTCTGCCAGCCTACCCGCCTGCATTCTTGACTCCAGACGTACTAACAAACAATTTAACTCCTCGCTCTCCAAGTTACAGGCGCAGTAGACACGGTTGCTTCACGATTTGCATTTTTGGCGGCAAAATGGAAGTCTCTCACGGCCCTGCAATTCACCTTAATTTTCCGCACTTTTTCCCAACCCCAAAACGCCTTAGTCTAGACTACTGAAAGACATATTGCGTGGAAATGAACGGGATATCTGCAAATACTAGCTAATAATCGTCTGTACCACTGTGGAAAGCCGGCAATATGTCATAATAAAAACGGTCAAAAGTCAATACTCCAGAAGTCCCATCACTTATGCCTCCTGCGATTCCGAAGTAAATTCCAAACTGCCTAACTTAGTTGACTGGATCTCTTCAAAGGCGAGGCTACGATTTGCTCCTACGCTGAAGGAAGAACAAGTGCACATGCAGTTAACCCCGTAAATATTTATTAACCCTTAAAAAGTGGCATTCCCTACTGCCGGTCACGTGATGATCGCCCTCCTATCAGCCACTGGAGGCAGGTATGCCAGTAGATCTAATTTTCGTTTCATGTGCAACATCACAACTCGGCGTCACTATGACAATTGGCCATTGTGTTGAGATCAGGCTTTTGCTCTCTCCGTCTACCCTCCCTTCCCTTCCTGTATTATCTCACCTAATTGTGATTTCTTATACAAAATTGCAGAATCAAGGATGCTTTTCCTCTGTAAAGTTTCTAAAAAGGATCATTTAGGAGAAAACAATGCTTTAAAGTTCTATTTTATTAGCGTCCACACTCAAAGATGTACTCCAGTCCTCCTGATTTAAAACAAAAATGGCAAACTAGGTTCAAAATAATCGTTAAGGTGACCAATACTAGCGATGCTAGTGAATTTTATTGTTTAAAACAACTAGCGTGTTAATTATCTGTTAAACGGTCTAGCTCTACTTATGTAGACTAGGTCACTGCCATAGGTGAGAGTGGGAGTAAGGCGGAACAGATGTCAAATAACCTGCTTGCCTAGTTCTAAGGAAACAAAACTCGGGAGCAACACTACCGAGAGTCCGAATTCCGATCCTGCCTAATCATGGAAGCAAAAAATGGTTGAAGTCAAGATATTTAGTTAATTCAGACAATCACATCTGGTTTTAACGCAAGAAGTTAACTTAACCATTACTTTAAAGCCAGCTGCATGATGTAGTTTACTGTTTTTTTATTTCATAAATGGGCTCTAGGCGAATAAACCATGAAAGAGCACTTTTTATGGCTACAAAACGGTGTACCACAGCTTACCTCCATCCATCGACATCCGCGGATTTACAACTGAATACTTTCGGGGCTCGGTCAGTAGACTACCTTCACTTCCTACCATGGAAGAATCCACTGGATTCGCGAGACTTAGCTGCGGTGTATTCATTGGAGGAGGGGAGGATGGTATATCTAAAGTTCCTTGGTCTGTGGCCACCAGGCTTCCATAACGATCAAGCACCGCTTCGAACGACCTTCTATGCCGTCAGCGTGAGGCGGAGGAGAATGACTGTGTGGGGGATGATGATGATGATTCAAAGAGAGTACGCAAGGTGGTAGCTCCACGTGCGAGTAGGACACACACGCACACACACACCGGTCCCAACTAGCTATGGCCTATAATTCGCGGCAGCATCATGCCTCGCCAATCTGGCTCATCTGAGAGGAATCAATGCCACCAATTGCAGGTCGGGATGCACACCATTGGTCACTTCAACTTGGCCGCGTGTACGTGCATGGACGTGTGGACAGCTGTTTTCGCCTAGCGAAAATTGCCCTCACAACAACCAGTATCATCATCATTGTTATTGTCATTGGCAGCATTGCCACAATTCCTTACTCCAGCCCTCCACCAGCTCCACTGATGCATAGGTCAATCACGGCAAAAAATGAATCTTTTCCCTTTTCGATTAGCCTTAGTGATTAACACAGCCGCTACCAGTGTGTCCTACAGGGGATTCCCTGACTCTTCCATGGGAGCACGTGCGTCACGAATACGTGGCATGTCAAGCACATAATAACCGGCGTCTCTAACTCCAGCCACACACAGGGTTGTAAAATAAATGTGGGACTTTCTTGGTCCGAAGATACTGGCACTTTTTAGCTTCTGAGCAGCTGCTGAAAAGACCGGTTCGGTGGTGCGGGCGCTGTAGGCACATTTGAACAATCGAATACATCTGGGCTGTGGTGGCCGACTTTCCCTTTAGACCATAGCGCGTATGGTCTACATTAACACGCGTCGCCTCCTCCGTTCAGCACTGTCAAATACCATAGTTCAAAATGTCTTCCTAGGAGTTGTAAAAAAAGCCAACGCATCACCGTGTTCTTGGGGTAGGAAGGTTATTTATTTTGGACGAACTTTCCCTTCACTTTGGTCCCAATGCGTGTTATTTTTCGAGGGTTCGTAAAAAGTAATGCAAAATTCTGCCAGCTCCACGGGAAATTTTACTTTAAAAGAAAATTGTAGTACTAATTAGGAATCCATTGAGTGCCTCTTTGAATTGAGGCAGTATTACCTCCAGCGGTATGAATAATTAACGCGTTTTCCGCTAGGTTCTCGGAGAAGCATTACTCCCCGCAGTTTAGATGCTTTACTATTCTACTATGGTAAACGCGTCTGGACCATCAAACTGTCAACTTGATCAGCTCCTAACTAAGGATATTCCTCTTTCAATAGTTTGCTTAAAGTCAAGTTATTTATTAGCAGGCTCTAAGGAATCTATGTCAAGTTTTTGTGACGCAGGTAACCGATGTGCTAAGAAGAGTTAAAAGAGACTTGTCTTCTACTGACTAAAATAATATTAGTCGCTTTAATCCCGATTAACCCGCCTAAAGTGCGCGATTTAGTGCAACCGATTACCAGAAGGCGATAAAGAAACTTTGTCACATATTTGTGACTCTGGTAGTAGACATGATTAGAAAAACAAAAAGACATTACATTCATGCCAGATCACAGTTTACGTTTGCTGTAAGTCCGACTAATTCGGTTGCAATGCACCGTTTAGAGTAAAGGGCCATCAGAAGGTGATAGGGTCTATGCCAAATGTTTGCGGAGCTAGGAGTTGATGTGCTAGAAATTAAAAGATTATTGTCATATATATCACAGTTCTTAGTTGCTTCCAACCAAATCCATCAGTCTGCTATGGGCAGTTTAGTGTAACCGACCATTAAAAGGGGATAAGGAATCAATGTCACATATTTGTGACGCTAGCAGAGGATGCGTTAATAAAATATTCAAGACGCAATTTCTCATTCAGAGCATAGTTTTGAACTTTGTTGGTCAATTTCTCGGCGGAACAGTGGGGCTATAACTGTGCGATTATCCAGTTCCGGAGAGTAGGGTAATGGAGAGCTAGGCAAAGCTACACAGCCTGATTTTAGCCTGGATTATCGCCAAAGGAAGCACACGGCTCCCGGAAATGAATAAAAATCGGAATTATATGGAGGAGGCACATATTCATAGTCTATCGACTTGGGGGTCATAGTTGTAACAATTGCAAATAAAGCTTTTCGCTGAATTTGCTTCGTAAGAGACAAAAAACGGTGGGCGAAAGACCATGTGTGCCATGCTACTCAAATTTCTACCTTCTACAAATCAATTCCTTTTTTTGTTAAACAAATAAGTATGGATTGTGACTTTTGACGAGGAATACTTTATCCAACCCTGAAATGGTTGGCATTCTCCATTCTTCTTACTGGACTTTCATTTCTCTAAAACCACTTCATGAGCATCTGTGAAGTACGATGAGGTCCCACACTTAGAGGCGTCTGCATCAACTACAATCTTCCTGGAAGTTTTTCAATTAGGATTTACCTTAGCTATTTGACGCGCAGTTAAAAAGTGAGTCTTTAGTAAATATTCCCCCAACATGGTATGTCTCCAAATGTCTCTCGCTTCCTGAGATGCTTATATTTATTGAAAGGCAGCCGGCTTATCTGATGCTAGTGACTCCCTTCTTCAGCCCCAATTACCAGCGTTTGAGAACTGATGTACAACTTAATGGCGGGCCAGTAATAAAACTGAAATCACGACTGAGGGTTCGAAAATAACGCAAAATTTTATCCAACTTGTAAAATCACGCTTAAAGCCGAAGGAGTCATAGTGAACGGTGCTGCAACCGTAGGAAAGGGAACTTTTGTTAACTCCACGGTCCCTATGATTTGAGAATAATGGCTCAACACCGGAGAGCATGCATCCTCCAAATACAGTCGGAAATGTTTGCATTTAAATAAATAGCAACATAAATGGGCTGGGGATGCCTGCAACCCCAGGAGAATGCTCCTCCCAGCATTAGGGGTAGTCGTGTTTTTGCTCATTCCCCTCCCGATTGGCCCAGATCAAGCAGAGGTGTACTTTAAATTTGTTGATGACCTCTCAGAGCACAAGGTCACCCAGTTGATATAAGTACTCGTTACTAAAATAACTGAAAAGCAGGCATGGGCTAGCGTGTACTCATTACATCGAGCGATAATGATGTCTGGACTGAATATTTTATCTATTCACACTATCCGAAATCTCTAATCTACAATCGTTGGTAATTTAGGTGAAAATAAAGTGGATTCAGAGGCTGGGTGCATGATTAATGCGGGAAGAGTGAGGAAAGCTCTGCCCAAATTAGGTGTTTTAAAGCCCCACTCATTTTGCACTAATGAGAAATCTTGATTTTGGTGCCACTAGAAGTGCGAATGAATTATGCATCACTTTATCGATGAGATTGCTTCTCTAGTTTGTGTCGTATGAATTTCCGGGTGAAATGTTTCATCTACTACCGCCCTGTTTTCTCTGCCACTCTGACACTTTGGTCGGAAAAAGAGGGAAATTCAGTGGAAAAGTGGAAAATAGAAACACTTCATTTCATTGTCATTTGTGTTGATTTTTCATAGGGAGAAAGGCTGTTTGATCCCATTTGTCAGGAGCACGAATTCGTTTGACTTTCCACATTTCGCAGGTGCTTCCACTGCTTTGTGCAATAGCTCTCCTATTTTGCCTAACGGACAGAGTTCTTAAGTGGCTTTGGACTATATCTTCTGGAATGACCAAAAAAGTGTTGAGCACACTTTTCTTTGCGAAAAAAGAGACTATTATTTGGTGCTACGCTTTCGCCACATTAAAGAAGTTACTAGCAAGGGGTTTTGACTTGCTGGTGAAAGACCATCTTGAAAACGCCACTGCAAAAGGCCTCTTATTTTGTGACTAGGTGTGATTAAGCAAGCAACATTTGTCCCATAAAAATCTCGTCAAGTTTTCTGTCACATTCCTTCGGAAGGATTACTGGCGTGAATTAATGGCTTTCTTATGGGAGTAAACTCTGGTGTCCCTGGCAGTAAACTTTGCGGGAACTTCTGAACGAAGGCCTCTTTGAGTTCATAGTACCTCGAGGCTTCTTTGAAGATAAAAGAAGACGATATTGTGGCAAAATATGTTTTTATAAGTCAGGGGAGGGCTTAGATGGCTACTGACATGGCCCGGAGGCCATATTGCTCAGAGAAAATACAGAAGATGAGTCATGAGCGCCTGAGAAAATAAAGCGAAGTGTTAAACAAATAATCGAAGTATTGTAAAGCCCTTCTCTTCTTCTGAGCGCCTTCTACGGCGCTCCCTTGGTAAACCTTCAACGTCAGCCGTCACAACGTAGTCGGTACTTTAAACAAAAACACTCACCAACCAAATGTTCCACTCATCGAATTTGCGTGAAACCGAGAAGATATCTGACTGTAGCATCACTGGTTCCTCTCAACAATCCCAATGGACCCGAAGTACCGTCCCATTTGGGAACTGTACTAAGAGAGGGGGAAATGTGTAGGCCATCACCTATATCCACCGCTAGTTGTAAGAACACTGGACCTAAAGCAGAGTCGTTTAATAAAGGACGGGATTTAACGTAGTTGTCACTTTGTTCTCACTTCAGAGCTGCTCAGCCATATCCACCTGGGTTCCATCCTGCTAGTGAAGAGACAAAATTGGCATCATCGCTTCACTTCAACTACGGCTCCGTAATTACCGTCCCCAGATGGTTCACGGCTAGTGTCGCTTCAGTTGTTAATTGCATTCTTGCAGAATATAAGAGTGGGGCAGTTGCTGAAGACAGACGTCATTTCCACGCTGTTTGTTAGGGGTTGTCACAGATTCGCTCATCTGCAGCATATGCTCTTCTTCAATCATGTCAAGGTGTAACTTTTTAGGAATGAAAATCAGGGTAGTTGTCCTTTATGGTCGGCTTCGTTTTCCACAGCCACTAATGTAGGTTCTCAAAACTTCTCTGAGAACGAGAGGTCATAATATCAAGGCAGAATACGTACTGTTGACGTAGAGAAGGCATGGGGCTACTGCAATGGCCCGAAGGCTGCGCCGCACGGCAGAAGTACAAAAGAGATAAGCAAATAGTCAAAGTATTACATCCACATATTGTGCTTATTCAGTTAAATAAGTCACTTACAATCAATTCTCTACGTCACATCTTGAAGCCATTAAATCTGTTGATCAAGCTATTAAAAAACTAACTTCGCTTTAAATCGCAAATTTCTTATCACATTTTTGCTGTAGCCCTGATTAGTTTCTTCATTTTGCTCGCTTTTATTCCACCCTCTGGCTGTACAACAAAAAACAAACCGGGTTAATCGACTAATTGCACGAATTTACGCAGTGATTCCTCTGGCTACTTCACCCCTTCTGCATCGAAACGATTCCAAAGTGCTTATTGCTACAGTAGGCTAAGTGGAAATAAGTGGCTCTTATTCTCCACTTAAATAATCCTGGGTGTGAAAAAAACCAAGATGGAACTTTTAGGATGTTGAATCATCGTGCCATCCTCCTCAAGAAGTGCACATTCGACCTGAATTACGGGATCTTTAGTTATGTAATTGTGGCGTATCCACATTTTGACAAGGCTTACTGATTATGCATTAACACCACGGCCAGCGAGACGGCAATAAAACATCAGCCTCTACGAAAACCTTCAATAGAGCGTCTAGTTAAATTCGTACCAAACGAGGGGGAGATGAGTGGGCAAATATTTGCTTTTTAAGCAACCGCCTACACATAGGGAGATTTAGGCACCAACTCTACCTGTGATTTTGTCTCCGTTTTGCAGAAGTTGCAGCAACTGTTTGCCGTCGCAAATAGTCGTATTGTTGTCGGTAAATGAACTAGCTTATGAAGTCATAAGGAAGCTGTCGAGACACCTAGTTACTAAAGAAGTGTTTCTAAAAGGTGTTTTAAAAAATTACAAATCGAACATCCTGAAATAAATGACTTAAACAAATTGTTATTTGGGAATTCGCTATCTTAAACGTGGAATATAAAAACCAAAATTGGGTTCCTTTTCACTATCACATTTCGTGCTACGGACCGCATGTCAGTTTTAAATTCTTCTATTATAAGGCAATACTTGGATTTTTTTCCAATGCTCCGCTGTGGTTACGCGGACACTTAAGGCTCCTCCACTGAACTTCCGCTGGAAAGCGTGGCCTCCCCGTCATGCCAGTACTCCCCTTCTCCAGCCCTTCTCCACATAGACAGTATATATGCTGCAAAAGTATTATGACCTCTTTCGTCCCCAGGGAAGTCTCGGGGCGCCACAATGGTAGCACCGGAAAGCGAATCTGATCCTTAAGGACAGCTACCCTAATTTTTATTCCTGAATGCTACGCTTCGACGTGATGGAAGAAAAAGAGCATATGTTGCGCAATGGAAGAATCTGTGACGAACCCTAACGAAAGAGTTGAAAATGACATCTGCCCTCGGCAACTACCCCAGTCCCGTGTTGTGCAGGAATAGTATTAAAATCCAAAGCGACACTTGCCCTGAACCATCTGGAGGATTTCGTTGCGGGCCTGCAGGGAAATGTCAGGGATATAAACGCGCGATACCTTCACTTCTTCATTAGTTGGCTAAAACTTAGATAGACAGGTATGGCTAGGCAGCACTGAATGGATAACAATGTGACAGGGAAGCGTAGACGCAATATATTATCCCCACAAAACTATTTTAAAACCCGTCTTTTATTTAAATGACTCTGCTTTGAGGCTAGTATTCTAGCAAATAGCCATGGGCATACGAGATGACCTGTGCATTTTCACTCCCCCAGCACGGTTCCTAGAACAGGAAGAAACTCTTCATCGCATGAAATTGCCAAGAGAGATCAATGACGTTGCAGGTGGTTGATTTGTGGGTGTTTTATTACAACACCACCTACGTTTTGATGGCCAACGTGGCAGATTGATGTTGATTAGTGCCAGGGACGGGGCTCAAAATAAAAGAGCCGATGTAGTCTTTTTTTTTAATTGAATATTCGGTTTTGATTACGCGGTTGTACGTCCACTGGGTGACATGGCCTCTGGTCCATGTTAGTAGCCCTTTAACCCTTCTATACGTGAATAATGCATATTCTGCCCTAGTATTAGGCCTTCCTTCATCTTCAGAAAGGATTCAGGGAGCTACAACCATTAACAAATGTACTTTTATATCCTGGATTAATGCTTTAAAGTTTTTATTGTTTCCTACTACTTTATTGTGCATGAAAATAATTCTTTTTAATTGTAAATATTATATTTACCCACACAACCCTACCATTAAAAGCCATTCTCTCTGACGGGTTTCGGCAAAATAAAGCCGAATTAAAGGACATAATTATTTATGAAGCCGTAAAAATTTAGACAGGAGACAAGCACTAGAAATGTTTTTTAGTCCAAGGGTCAATAGAGGGCTAAGATTGATCTTTCGGCTAAACCAGAGGTCGTCGGAATAAAATGAAGTATTTTCGATCCTCCTCACTCAACTATGGTCGACGTCCACTGGGGCTTGTAAAATCTACATCAAACCTAATTACTCTTCTTCTACATCGTCTTGGTAAGACAGTACCCCTAGTATGCTTTTTTCAACAACTTTTCACCGTTGGAGAGTTTGCACATGCTGCTAAAATGAAGGCTCGGGTTCATGAGTCATGGGTTTCTCCTCCAGGATCAAGGGGCTAGAGGAAATAAGATTTTTATGCGAAATTAAGTTATAGTACTATCCGCTTTAAGGAAGGTCGTTTTACCCTTAAAGGGAATGAATTACTAGACTCCCATTCTCCCAGTCGCCCAGTATCAGAATTTTATATAGCCAGTTAAATAAAAAAGGGATTTGGAATTATTTAAATTAATTTCATAGGCTTTTTATTGCGAAGGGAATAGGGGAGCTAATTTATGTGGGTAGCAGTTTCAGTGTTTTATCATGTGATATATATAGAAATTCTAAAGTGCTGGTGAAGATGCACCTCCGGTTGCATGGTTAATTAAATTGGTGAGTCGAAGAGGACCACCTCCAACTGGGGAGTTATGGTCCATAAGTTGGGAGTTAAAAATCCGACTCAGCTTCCCCCGGATGGGAGTATTTGCCACTACCATATTTGTCATGTTATCTTTTAATATCGAAATCAATTTTTTTTGACATCTTACCCTTAATGACCTTGATAAACCGGCTTCAAATTTACGACTTAAAACGAATTTTCATTTTTTTTTTCGTTCTACTGAGTCTTTCTAGCTGCAAATGAAGCATATACGACCACTTTATTTATTTATTCGTTTATCTTGTTTATATGACATGAAGTTGTTTCCCACTAAAACTAGCCAGGACTATTGGAATTTAAGCAAAATCTTTTAGAAATGTTTATCCGTCATATTTTTAACTTAATATTTGCATTGTAATATCCCAAGCCTTCCCTGAAAATGAAAGAAGGGATAAGGCCAGGACTAAATATGTATTGGCGACGTGCAGAAGGGCTGAAGGAATGCTGTCATGGCCTGGAGGCAATATCGCCCAGTGAAAGTACAAAGGCGGAGCCTTAAGTGCCCTCGCAATCAAAAATGCGAGATGAACAAAGAATCAAATTATTATTGCATACGTATGCAAAATTATGTAAAGCCGATCACCAAAATGGGATGTGATGAAGTCGTTCCCAAGAGTGATGATTACCAGCAAGAAAAGGACTTATTGCAGGCCCCCGAGTTATCCCCAAAACTGTAAATCTGTTTGGAATAAGTTTTATTTACAATGCATGGAAAGGCTGTGAGGCAGAGACGCTATTGAATGTTGGTGCACTGAACCCAAACACCGATTTTACTGGTAAAAATTTTTTTAGTCAAGTGTAGACCTGTTCGTGTAAATAAGCTGCAACCTCCTCATTGAATAGGGGTCATCACTTTCCAGTTGTAGTGGTGGTTTTGTTAAATGAAACACCTCTATTTAAACGGGCTTAAATGTGCCTTACACTTTAACGTTTAAATTGAGCTCAAAATCTCTTGTGGAATTTCTAATTTCCGTAATTTTCTTGGAGTTCGTTTGCTTTTCTCATTATCTGATGATCAACACACAAGCTTTTTACACGAAAGGAAACGGGAAGTTGAGTTTTGCGTGCTTTTTTGATTATGGAAAGGCAATTCCTCTGCTCTCAACGTTTTCTAGTACAGGGAAAAGCATAAACAGGACACTGTCTCTCTTCATGGTCTAGTAGGAAAAATTTGCTGATCCCTGAAGTATGCATTTGCGGCATTTGGTGAAATATCTCTTACTCCATTGTGACACAAAAGGTGTGTGCTTGAATCTGATTCCACTCTCTAGTTATTATGACATTACAGTATAGCATTTCGCTGTGCTTTGATGGTCAGCTAACTCCGCCTAGGGGCGGGTGGAGCCCCATCTCCTGGTATCACGCAACCCCTCATCATCGGCATCATCCCACTGCTGTCTGTGCTGCGCTTGTTCTAAAGTTATTATACTATGGTTTTTTGTAAAAAAATGTTAATTAGCGCTACTTTACACTTTGCAAACGTTCACTACACGGTCAATGCCTAGTTCCAGACATGTATTCGAGGATCGTGAAAGCATTCCAAGCTTCAGCATGCCCTTAGCTGATGCAATTATTTGAAAAAGGGCGTAGTTAAGGGTCTTTAAAGTGTTACTATAATAGTTTTTTTTGCAAAATGGGCGGTACTTTTCAATATTAGGGCGACTAACTTTAAAATTTGGGCCATTTCAAGATAATGTATTTATTTTATGGGTTTTGCATTAAAAAGCTCTTTAAATGTCTTTTTTACACTCTGAAGACAATTTTTTCGGTTTGAAGATTTTGCATCCGAAGATAGTGGTAGGGATGGTACAGCTTACAGTTGAGTCCATAGTTAAAGACGAATTCATTCTAATGTGGCTAAGATTTTTCAAGTGCTTTTATTTGTCGTGTAAGGTAGAATAAAAAGTTTGCCTCTTTAACATCATAACCGAAGGATTACCTGATTTAATTATGATTACTGGGTTACACACATTTTTAGGCTAATTTATTGTGCGGTTATCACGTTTTCCCAAGTTCTGATGTTTTGGAGTTTTTCAGGGGATGTCTGTGACCCCTGAAATACGTCCATGTCCAATTGTCCGAGGCTTTCCACCATTGCCAATAGCTCCCGCACATTGTGGGAATTGTGACCTTACTCACTCCCTTCCAACTCGCGGAGACCACCTCAAGATGTGCTTGCAGTACACCAATAGTCACCCCAAATCCAAGGTCAAGCCATTACTACAAATAGGTGTGACTAAGTTGACGTAGTGACCCAGGCCTAGCCGTAGTCGCCACAACTCAGCAATTTGGCCTGAACACGCATTTGACACCCTCATGTTGACTCACCCGCACTCTGATAATAAAGGCATCCATCCTTGAGTCTTTACCCACTACTCCTCCTGTCGGTGACCACGATAGAATGCAGATGACACGCGCATAGAAGCTTCACAAGTGACCCACTTTAGAGTAGCCTGGTGCAGATTCTGGGACTTGTAAGCACCAAATTGTTGATAAATAGAAATTTGGCTTCATTTGGGCCGGCTCCATGAATGTGGAGATGATTTTTCGCTATTTTGGATAAATTAACCCCAAATTACTTACTTAGGCCAGAAATTATTAGCCACAATTTACAGTGTCAAATGCCTTGTCGCCTCCGGAAAAGAAATTTACCAAATTATTCACCGAAGTCTGCTAACAGTTAATAACAAATACTAATATGCGATGAGAAGCACCTATTTAGTTTAAAAAGACATCCCAGGCATTAATGGCACTGTTCAGGAGGATTTCCCCGATAACGTGACTCAGATTTTGGGTAGTCTCCATTTGACATATCGTCCTAACAGCGTTAAGAAGTCGACTTTTTACCGCTCTGTTGCAGAAAGAGGTCACAAACGATAATTGCAGCATTCCTATGGCCAATTTAGTTACTAACGCTCTTCTAGGCCAAACTAGGATGTTGCTCTTACGTGAGATGCAAAATGCAAACTAAATAATCCCTGTATGGGTATTGAATAGCACTTTACTTAATTTGACACTTTGTGCAGACCACTGGTGCACTTGTATGAAATGTGTGGACACCATAATTCCCGTTCATCAAAGAAGCAAACGTAGAGTGCTTATTCACTTTCCTCCCACATCTCTCGTATTTGATTTTAGGAGAAAGATATCTTATTCTATGTACTGCGAGGATTTTCCAATTTTATAGTATACAATGGACCAATGTTCGTCTCCTCTTCAGTAATCAGCAGTGCCTGCTAAGCTGCGAGGTTGGCGCGGTCTGGCCACTTCGCCTAAAAGTAATGATCAAAAAGGGGTAAAATACCGTACTACTTTGGTTGCTTAACTCTCGGTTTTGGTAAAGGACCGCTTTGTAGATTGGACACTGTAGAGGCCACTGGTCAGCATCCGGGCTATGCTAGTAGCCCCGACCCATTCTCTACGTTAAAATTATGTATTCTATCCGAGCATTGTGCCCCTTTTCGTCTTCAGGAAAGTCTCAGGGTGCTAAAATGCCCTTCACCGGACCTTTCTTCCCGCCAATGCTACTTTAGTATTTAAAATGAATTTTTCCTGTGGCTCTGCGAATGGATAAAAGTGCGCTTAGCCTATTCGATTGCGCTTTTGACAAAGGGGGAATCGTGCCCTGTTTATAAAATGGAAAAGTATTATCAAATCTATATCGACAAAAAGAACTTGAAGCCCTCAAGGCAGAGAAACATACAAGTGAGGAAATGCATTCCGCTGATGACAAAGTAGTGCCATGTTAGCCTATTTTTAAAATTTAAGGATGTTTAATATGTATCAAACATCGAAGGGCAGGTTTGATTTTCCCCGTCATGAACATTCGCAATACATGTGGCTTAATATGTAACCCAAAAGCTTAAATGCAGATTCATCCCTAGTGTAGATTTTATCTGACTACAGTATCCCTAAATGCAATGCAGTCCAAATACTACTTTCCCATCCCACCGTTAATTAAAAATTAAACCAAGTAATTAGAAGGCTTCAAGTTATCCGCTTTTTCTATTTTTTATTCTGTACGATTTTTTGTCCGGGATTAAGCTGGACATACTCATTGAACTTAGCCTATTTTGTTTTAACTATTAACATCGAAAACCTTACTGAAGCTGCCCATACTAACCTTTAAAACCACTGGTCAATCAGGTGTGACTGTTGTGGGTCGATGCTATCACTTGGTGCGTGTTCCTATTTCATGCTCTACTACCTTCAGGTCCGAGCTCTCCTGATAAGACCGCAATTGGCCACGTGTTAACCAACAGATTACGGTCATCTGTTAGGTCTGTGTCACGTTTTGGTAATTTCCCTATTCAACCTATGTTTTGCAGTGGTTGCGGCTAAGTCTTCTGAAAGCGTACTCTTTACCGACGTTCAACGACGTTCACGATCAAGTTAGCTCACCCTTTGATTACTTTAGTTCTCCTGACATTTCCAGACTTCAATTCAAGTATCACTTGTGGCCTACAACCATTCATATAACTTGTCAATATTACTGTTCTAGTCATGGTAATCTGTGCTTTGTGATCAGTTTTCTTTTGTTCTCTATGTTTATTCTTTCCAACAGAGTTCTGTTTTTGCCACTCTCACTCTCTACCTCTACTTTAGTGCAACCAGCCGCAAGGAATGCTCCCGACGTGAAAGCTAGGAACCCCTCTCATAGTCCTGTGAAGGCACAATCGTCTTCAAAAGTGAGGATAAATTTGGCCCCTAATAAGAAGCTTTGTCGCAGTGGGAAGCCGTCGATGATTACTTTATGAAACGTTCCGCGAAAACTAGTAAACGGACGTTGGCAAAACTACGAGCAGATCGTGAAAATGGACTACCCGATCTAGAAAAACTCGAAGCCTTATTATCTGAACATCACCCTCCTTATAATGATAGTTTGGAGAAGCGTCTTAAGAAGCTTGGCGACACCCTGCTACCGCATTTTCGTATATATCTTATGTGTGTTTTCTTAGTTTTATTTGTTCCCTTATGACTTAGAATTTTCTTTGACCTAGTTTTTTACTGTTTAGGGAAGGTTTTAACATTCTTCTCTATGGAGTCGGCTCCAAATTAGAGTTGCTATCTCGCCTGCAAAAGGAGTATTTGAATGGCGATAATTGTCTTGTAGTATCAGGCTACTCATCAACGGTCAGCATTCGAAAGGTTTGCTTAGGGGTTTTGGTTACAGTTTTTTCTCACAGATTCTCAATGCAATAGTCGATGAGGTGATGCTGGCGGAGGACACCCCTGCCGGCGTCGACAAGCGTTTGAATCTTGTCATCGATCACTTTTCTCAATCCGGTTAGTTCCAGTACCCGTTACTGGCAAACTCACGTGGCTGACGAAGTAATCCATGTTCTTGTTTGACTCATGCAGTCGCAGCGGATGCTCCCCTCTTTTTGCTGATCAACTGCATAGATGGAAGGAACCTGCGTACTGTAAGGGCCCAGGCCGTTTTAGCTCGTCTTGCTGCGGTTCCACACATTCACATTGTGGCCACTATGGATAATGTTAATTTGCCTATTTGTGAGTCCCTTTCCGCTAAATCACTACTTCAACTTTTTTTGCCAGCTTGGCTACTTTCCTAGTTTTCGAAGATGATTCGCAAAAATGGTGTACGCCTTCAACTAGGGTAGACTAATCCCAGTAATGAATTCTTCAAAACTAACTTTCATTCATTTGACTTATTTTCGAAATAAAATTTTAGCGCAGTAGGAAATGGAATTGAACTTCGACTTCTGCTGTATCAAGCATTTGAGTAACTTTCAAGTGATGCGTGATTCGCATTCAAATGGTTCACGCCTCTTTAAATGCTAAATTCCACATGAAACGGTTGCCTTTAGTGCAAAGAGTATTCATACTTTTCCATCGTAACGCCGAATTCGATCGAAAACAAATAACCAATCTATATATAGATTCACATACATGGTTGGTAGCATCACCTCCACAATCTGTCGCTTTGTTAGTATGGTCCCAAACCGAAGTCTCGCGGTTCTCCTGGATCTGGGAGGAATGCACAACTCTGCTGCCCTATTCAGTCGAGGCTAGATTTTCCAGCAGTCGTTTGCTACAGGAAATCCTCGGAGGTAGTGGCAACGCGAGCAGTCATTTGGTGGATCGACACCTCTTTCTCAACTCTGACGTTGATGTGGTGGCGCTCACCCGACTGCGACATGTCATGGCCTCGTTGACGCAAAACGTGCGCGATATCTTCCGCCTATTGGTGGAGTACCAGTTGCAAGCAATGGAGGAGGCCCAAGCAGCCCTACGCGCAAGAGCTGTCAAGAAGACAACGGATGCTAAGGGCCCCTTAAAGACACGCAAAATGAATGAGGAAGAAGCAGGTAAATATTTCAATCGTTCGTCAGTCTTGTCACTTGGAGGTGAAAAGAAGTTTAGATTTCCCATTGTTAGTGCCCAAGGGAATGCCACTGGAGGAACTGTACTGGCGCTGCCGTGATGCTTTTCTGACTAATACGGAAGTCACTTTGCGGGCTCAGTTGACCGAGTTCAAGGACCACAAACTCATCAAGTTTTCAAAGGCATGCGCTTTTATTATTCGTACCATTTGTTTGCGCAGTACCTTACTTTGCATTTATGCCAATTTTTCAGGGTTCTGGTGGAACCGAATTGCTTCATGTTCCCCTTGATCTGGCCAGCCTCAGGGAAATTATTGAAAATAAGGAAATGTTTCCTTAATTTTATCAGGAATAAAGTACAAATTTTCGTATTTGTATTTTTACTGCAACTTCACCCACCACTTTTGGTGGTTCTTTTAACAATCGAGACGTCAGACAAACCAATCGTTGATGCTGTACACCGCAAGGTTTTATGCTACAATTTGTGGCTCAACGTGCCTAATTTTGTATCATAAATAAGTTTATCTAGACTCCTATTTACCCCCTCTGGACTCGTCCTTTTATATTTGTGTCGGTGCCTGCATTTGCCCTTTGTCAATGGATGCACGTTCAACTATTAGCTTGAAAGGAAGAGGAAGGGATGAATTTTTTTGATTACAATGTGTTACCATTATCAATTTCTCGTGTTTTAAAGTAACTACTTCTCAGTCAATCCATAGCGTATGGGGCCGACATTTTGGGATAGGTTGGGAGGTTGACGTCATTCTAAAAGGGTAAACGATTTGGTCACTGCAAATTAGAGTTGACAAAAACTCGATGTCTCTGGTCGCTCGTTACTCGAAGCGTTCGTGACATATGTTTAGCCCATATCTTTTAGTTCTTTGTTTACTTAGTTTTGGTTATTGGTATTTGGCATTATTTAATAAGCCTACTTGGGATTCCTTTTCCCCTGGTGAAGTTGACATCTTTACCTGTTATCTCAAAAATTTTTTATCTGCCTAGTAGTATCAGTGTGGAAGGGTGATTTTGTTCCTTCCTAAATCTTTAAAGTTTTCCAGCTTACCGCACGACGCGAAGAGGAGGCTTCATTCCCCTCGAGGGATTCACTAGGCGATAATTTACTGGAGATTGATCGCCTTCCAACCTGACTCTCGGCGACAACTTCTGGTGCTAAACTCGGCATCCAGGTGCATTTCTTATGTCTCGAATCCATCATAATCGTCGGTCGAGCGCCCTTAAGGAGAAATTATGAAGTGGATTACGAGAAGTTGATGAAGTAGAACTCTAGCTTTCATAACAGCTCTATAACAATGAAATGAAGAGCTCTAAGCAGTGTGTTTAAGATGAACCTAGTTGTTCGGGTATTTAGTCCTAGTGGTTAAGGCTTGTCTATGGCCTATTACTACAAAAAAGCAACTGTGATATCGTTAACCTAATTAGTAATGAAACATTACATTACCGATTGCAAAAGTGCATCTTCAATTTCGCTACCAACAAATGTGACAAACGCTCCAGAGAAATGCGTTTGTTTTTAATTTCCTCATGTTTATTGGATCGGAAAACCTAGGCTCATTATGATTCGTTCAATATTCTATAGTGCCTAATAAAGTAGGACGCTTTATGTTTTTATGGAAATGTTATTAATAGTTTAACATAAGTCCTAAAAGAACGATTTCTTTGTCGTCTTAGTCATCACGTTCCAGATACAAACAAAGTAAAATGTACTTAAGAACATGGAATTCGAGGAAGGACAAAATAAACTATGTGTGAAATCTTTGACAAGATTTTATTAACAAATACTATGTGATTTTTGTTTAAAATATTTTTATTGGAAGATCTTTTCCACTTATCATGACGTAAAAATATTTGCACGACCATGACTTCTACTTCGGTGTTACAATTAAGTGTGGCAGGCACATGGGCATGACATCTTAACATCAAGGAGTAAAGGCCATGCGATCTACGACCATTCAGTTACAATTATCGCCACATTAATTCCATTTTCCCCCACTTCTAAAATAGGTCGTTTTGAACTTACCAATGATATCACATGATCAGTTTGGACTAGCTATAGAGAAAGAGCTACTTACACGCATTTCCTCCGCAGTGTAACTTGGAAAGTCGATTTGATTACAAGTCCGTTGGAAGTTCCACTTCTTGGGTTCAGATTTACTTTGCGGGCTGACTATTTTGTGAGTGGGCTTTCCCTCAATGTACCACGGCGGTTGAACGGTGTGCGTTACCGGGGGCCTTTCACTCATTCTGAGTTCAAGCAACTCCTTTTGCGCTTTACCAGAATCATCAGTTGTTGGTCGAGTAAGCTCCAGCGCAGATGATGGATCCATAGGTCGAGAATCATGTTTTTTTTCCGCATATTTTTGGATTAGGCTAGATTCAAGATCGGTTAGATAAGAATGGCTGTCTGTTTCTTCATGATTTTTCTGGTCTCTTTTCAGCATTTGGCGCTCTTTTGCTCTGTATTTGGCTTCCTCTATTATATCAATATCACCGGATCCTAGATCATTAAGGCTTTTTTCGGCTGGCGTGTCCGTCTCAAAATGTACGAATCGATTTGGTTGTGCGTTCCGAAGAAAGTCCTATATACATAGAATGTTTTAATATAGTCATAAGTAAGCTCATATCATTGAGTGACGTACAAACCTTTTGACCACCTTCAGGCCTCGGTTCTGCTTTACCTGATGCGTTGTTGTTGAGACTAGCCGCTTCTGCATCGATTAGTTAGAAAGCCATGATTGTTTAAGAATTTGGATTAAAGTCAAAAATACAACCATCCATCAATGCATTAACTAGTCACATATTCAAACCCAGAAAAACAAGTGCCAAAAAACAGGGAAGTGTAGCGCATCTTAGGAATGTATTTCAACAAGAGAAGTTGGGATTCCGCGGCCGATATTGACGACCAATGCTTACAACTTCTCCGAAAATAATTTTTATTTTAAGCAAACCACCTGACTCAAAAACTTACGTTCATCCAAAGTACTTGCTCCAACTACGCCATTATGGAAACCCTAGATTCACAAATTAGATTAGCAATGTGCTTAACTGCTATTTCATTCATAGAGGATGAGTTTGCTGCAGAGCGGACACGACCAAAAAACTGACGTTTCATCTGCACGAATTTTTAGGAACAAAAAAATAAGACCTTCTCAGGTAAGGGATTTTCAACAGGCTTCCACCAATCTCCATAATTGTACGACTTAGATGCATAATCTTGCATTACTAATTCTGCAAAAATTTATCGAAATCCTAAGTTACTTGGTGAAGAAATCGACGACGAAGCACAGTCTGCCACATTCTCTTCGTTTTCACTTCCAAATAATGATGTTCGCTTAGTTAGAAAATGCCGTTTTCCTTTCATCTGAATACTGTGTGCGACCTTGAAAAATCAACTGTGCGCTGGTACGACGGTATCCGAAATAATCAGTGATCGAGATGTAATAACACCTACAGGACAAATTGTAGTAAGGAAATGACATCTAGTAAGCCGTATACAAAGTAGTTCCAGTCTCTAAAACTAACTAACCCTTCTGATAGAGCACTTATGCCTAAATTAACATGAGTAGCTTTTTCAATCGAGGCAGACAATCGTACAAAAGCAGTACCTTTATAAAGTACCACTTGTGAATAGCGTTTTTTGCAGTTAACTTTATATATGTGGCCTAAATTTTTCGTATTTTTTGAGAGAAGAAAAGCAATCACTCCGAACTAGCCAGGTATTTACACAGTGCAACATGCATACGTTTGCTTAAAGTTTCATGTATTGTTCTTTAGCTAAAATTCGTCCCATATTCATTTAGAAAACTACAGTTTTGCCAACTTTTTGATTACTTTGGCAATGGTGTTATGATCAACACTTTGTTTATATTATTGCTTTAGGACGGCAAGAAAAAGAGGTTAAACGGATGGTATGTTGGTTGGGTTTCTTCTCTGTAAATGACAGCTCTCTCGAGTTGCTCATCTGCCACAGTAATATAGTTTTGCGATTTCCGTTTTTTATTAAATCTTATTTGGTAACTTATCTTTCTAAATTTCCCCGTTGTGTGTGGAAAGTGGTTGTGAACCGTTTAATACCTGAACTTTGACAGCCTGTGGTGTAGTGTCTATGGTCTTTGCTGCTGTATTTCCCAAAATCTGAATGTCTAAAGTTTGAGGTTTCATCTGGTGTTTGTTGTAATTGTTTTTGAACTTTGCGTCGAATCTGTATGGGTTTGTGCAAAAATGTATGCCGGAAGCTCTATTTTGAATATCTTGCAGTGGCCGTTTTAAGACTCTTAAGTATTCATAACTGCGATTTGGAGGCAATCTTATTATGGAGGTCCCCGCCGTCACATCTTGTACGTTAGTTTCATTTGCTGCTATGCTCATGCAAAATGTTTTACCTTAGCATCCATTTCTGTCACAACGTGTTTGTTAAATCCAGCAACGCGATTACGAAATCCTATAAAATAAAAGTGCTGGTTAATGCGATTGTAATTTAGTGTATTTGGGCCTTCGTGAATACTCTTGTGGTGCTACCGAAATTCTCTTGTTCAAGTGAAGCTTGACGTTCCATAAGCAAAATTCCTTTTCGTTAACAAGTGTTCAAACACAAATTTCTGAATTGAAGAACCTTTTTATGCATTTTTTTGAGTGGAGACGGTGATACCAAAGATCGTACTTGGCGAACACAAACCACCAATATTAAGTCGCGGTATATTCATCCATTTTAAGACATATTATTTTGGTACTAGATCATTGAGTAACAAATACTCACAGACGTCCCTATTCTTAATTTTCGACGTTTTTTATCTTCTTGTAAGGAGGTGTCATTATTTAAAGTTTATGACTCGCTTCGTGCATTGGCTCTTGGTTTGACCTTATGAATAGACTTTATGTAAAGTTAAGTATCGGTGAAAATCTGTGCTACCGTTAAATATAGTTTCCGTTTAATGATACAGAGCGTTACTTTATGGCTTAAAGGGTTTCTTTATTCTTTTTGATCCAGTTCTGCTATGGAAAACGATAAATACATACCAAACTGCACGTGAATTAGCATTAAAGCGTTATTCACTGTTGCAATGCTATTCAGCCACCTAGTACTAGGTGATGAAGTATCGAGGAGGAGATTTGATCGTCAGTTCATGTATTTCTCCTCCTGCTTGTTCGCTCCTCTTAATAAACACTCCCCTTTAATGGACAGTCTTTTTGAATGTCATTGGGTCTAACTCACATTGCTTACACTGTTATATTACGTGCTTTTATACCTTTTGCCTACCCGACTTCCTGGGCAGTTGCTCTTTATTTTAGCAAATTGAAAAATAATGCCTCCCAATGCCTTGAGAAAATTGAGTGTCTGTGTTGCTCTTCAAGTTCTCTTCGTGCTCTGCGCCCTCGTCACATTTCGCATCATCTGCCACATCTGCGTCCCCAATTTAAGTAGTCTTCATGAAGTTAATCTTGGCTTCGTGTAAGTTTTTTTTCTAGTAATTACCCCCGTTCAGGTCGTCCAAAAAGAATGGACGCGTATTTTCTACAGATGAATTTCCGCTTTCTGAGTTTGGCGCTTCGGTAAGTCTTTTTTCTCAGTTGCACTTGGTTGTTTTAAGCCACTTTTCCTCAACTAGAACTACAGGTGTATGCATTCACAGACGAAAATGGGTCACCTTAAAATTATTTTTCCAAAGGGCAATTTGTGAATGTAGTTTCTCAGTGAACGTAGCATTAAATCAGTCATGGTGATTATCCACTGTGTTTCATTTTAAGCTTAGTATCTTGATTTCTGCAGTTCTTTACGCCTGGTCAGGGGTACAAAATCGAATTGCTGATTTCTGTACCAGATTCTCCTCAAAATCGTGATGTAGGTAAGTACGATGTAAATGTACTTCACTGTTCCCACTTGAAATCATTCTAAAATGCTACTAGCTACATCTGTTTCTCAGCCGTTGGGAGAATTGAACTTAGCCTATTTCAGCTCATATTTTGAACGATTACTTTGTTTTGCGTAAAATGGGTAAGCCATGTTCGTTGCCGGCTTCACATGCACGTAGCGCTCCGATTTTCTTCTGACTCAGGTGTCAAAAATATATGACGTGTGTTCTCTATCGGTTTTTGACCGACGACTGGTCGGATTTAGAATACTGAAATGGATTCCGAATGATATATGATATATATATGAGATAATTACACTTCCCAGTATGTTTGCTGCGTAGAAACAATGAAATATGTTATGATGGTCGATTTACCTCAGGGACCCCGATAGCGCAAGCATGTTTAATAGTTCATGTGGTGAACTCGCGTGACATTATCTATTTAAGGTGCATCTTGGCTTACGATAAGTGGATCATCCTCGGACGTTTTATCTTAGGCTATACTTCTGGGCTATTCTGTTTCTTTTGCCTTTTCTAGACATGTCATCTCTGCGACTACAATTGTACTCATTAGATAAAAATCACTCAATCACCTTTTCGAATACTGTAAGTTCTAACGGTTGAGGTCATATATGGTAACATTAAGGTAGTTTTGCACCTCACTTTATGATTGTATCCTGCTCTCACATTTTAGCTTCTGCCCATATACCGGCCATGGCTGATAGATACTATGGATACAATTTTTTATGCTCCATTTTACCTCTTTAATTTCTGCAAAAAGGAACAAAGGCTTTGTGTCGTTTTCTCCAGCAATTACCACGATAATCAGGTATGCGTCTCATTCCTAATAGCAGGTGTTTCTTCTGTCTAGACAGCATTTCAGTTTACAGTTTCTAGTCGCTATGGTATTTGGGGGGAATTTTTACAACTATTCTGATCTGGTTATTTGCATAATATTTAAGCAGGTTCGAAGTCCGTGGCGTAAGTTTTCGTCAGGATGTGTTTTCAGTGATTTTAAATGTTACTTCAATGTTTACTACCATTTACATTCGGCATCTATCAGTTTCACAAATACCTAATAGGTGCCTTCTGCTCCATTTTGCGACCAAAGTAATGTGCCTACTTATGTGGGTTAAGTAGTTTGTTTTATCCTTTAGGACTTTCCCACTTTTTCTGGGCGGCTAGTTTTGGAGACCAGCGGTCTGCGCTGGTACAGTGCGACTCTGACCATATCTGCGGTGTTGAATCCACTCTTATGGCTTATCTACCAACACATCTGGCTTGTCGGGCTTGTCTTTGTCATTGTAGTCACCCTAGCTCTTGACTGTCTCACTTTCTGTGGACAAATGTTGCGTCGCTATCATCACCGCGCCGACACTAAACCGTTGCCACCGCAGGCAAGTACGATTCAGACGAATGTAAAAGAGAAGGCGAAAGATGAGGGTGAAGAAGATGCTCCTTCTGTAGAATCAATCAGTCCATCTGTTGCAACTGAAGAGTGAACCGGTACACCTTTTTGCTGTGATAGTAATACCTTATGAATTATGGTTTATCGACACTTTGCGATTATATGAAGCTTCAAAAAATATAAATCATATCTTTTTTTCGTTTTTTGCCGTTTCTGTGTCCCCTGCTTTTTCTTCTGAGATCCGTACTGCCAGTAGTCAGTCGATGTGGCCCAAAACTACTATTTCTTTTGTGTCCAATTAATTTTGATAGGGTATTTAAGTGAAACGAGGGCTCAATTCTTCAGAGTTTGATGTTGGTTTGCTTCTAATTGATCGTGTAATTGAAGTCTGTAGTCACCTTTTCTATACTTCTCAACAATCAGTGAATCCTGGTTTAGGTGTGGCAGGGAGCTCGGTAAGTCAACTTTGCCCATTCTCGCCTTCTTCTCTCCTTGTTCAGATATGCTAGCGCTTTATGAGTTGCCTTTCGTTTTACGCAGCTCCCAGTGCACATAGTAATTAAAGCGTGTTAGATACCGCTTAAGATAACTGTCACTGCCAGAGTTCTTGGTTCAGATATTGCCTTGTCTTTCGGTGTTTTGAGACGGAAACTGTCTGCTACTATCTCATAGCTGGATCAAATGGCTGTATTTTCGTCCTTCCTTTCTGTCCCAGTTAGCTGTTTCGCTTTTTTCATATTGTAAAGATATGCATATTTGAAAGATGGTAATACCTCATCGTAATTCACTCATTTTTTCCCATAGGTTTGCTACTTCGTGTCCCCTATGCATATGCTAGCACAGCTAAATTTACACTTTTGAGTGTGCATTACCAGTTGATGAAATCCTTATCCACGCTTTTATTAGTGTTCAATAGGCACTATTTCATGCTTTTATGTTTGGCTAATCTTGTGTTTCTTAACGTCGTTATGGTTTCCCTTGGTTTAAGTAATTTTCCGGGAACTTCCGTGCCGTCTCTTCCAGACTCAATTCCATACTCTCATATGTGGGAAAAATTTCTTACGCTCGCAGTTAGGCATTTGCCGACGTATCTTAGGGACTCAACTCAATGAATACTCCATGTTCCAAATTAACATCAAATGTCTTTAATGGTCTCAGTCAACTTTGGACTAGAAGGGGATTGCTGCGAAAAATACAGATGTACCTCTGTGAGCTTTGAATTCACTATTATCCTGCCTTTCGTCTCGTTATGCCAATCCTGTTGGCACTCAAATATAGTTCCCAATTATTCTTAGTCACCACGCATTGTATCATTCCAAATTTGATAGATATCACTTCCCTTCATTGGATTTACTCATCTTTGTGTTTATCAAACTTGCCTTCAACTGTGATTTATTTTGAAATAAGTAGATACGACCAGTGATGATCGTAGCTTAGACTTTATTTCTCACCCTCGCCAAATTTGCCTCTCAAAATAGAAGAATCTCAGTATACATAGATTGCATTGCTGATCAATCGAGAAGAAATCAAAATGGTGCTGTCCTCTGGGTAGGCATGATAGCTATTAATTACAGTAACGTGCTATCAATAAATTGACTTCCGTGGACGAGCTCGCAAAGAGTGGAGGCAGTCGCAAGAGAATAGGAACTTTTCTAGATGTCAGTCTACGTATGGGTATGTGTTACCGTGGTTACATAAAGTCGCGAGAGACTGGCTGTTAGTGTGTGCGAGAAGTGAGGCAGCGTGCTCACATGTAGAAAAATAGCATCGAGGATTGGACTCAACTTCACCTTCAGCGCGCCAACGTATACTCCAACAAAGTACTAAAGTTTGCATCGTGTTGAGAGTAGGAGGCGCACACAGAGAGCCGTGACTGGCGACCCCAGTGGGCTCGCATGGGTACAGTGCCTTCCCAGCGGTCCCCCCGAGCCTCCAGATAGGTCCAGTCATCATCTACCACTACTGCGACGCTGTGCGCACTCGGCACGGCGAGGCAAAAGGCCACCTCAGCCGGCGGATTTGCCATCAGGCGGCCGCTGGCGTCGAGACCGAGGATGCCTTCGGTGGGCGCGTCAAGGTAGCATCCGCTACGGCGCCAATGCGCGAACTGTTGTGGGAAGGGCATTAATTGCCCACGCAGCCGGTGGGTGGCTTTGCTGGCCTCGATGAGGTAGTTGTACACCCCTGGCAAGGAGTCATCCCGGTCACTCTCAGGCAGGGCGTATATTTGCAATTTGAAGAAGCCAAGACGGGGGATGCGTATGACGAAGTAGACCTGACCCAGGCGCATTTGTTGCAGCACCTGAAAAAAGGAAATTTTAACAAGTCTTATCATTCTTCACTCCTCTCTGTTCATTACTAGCAGGGTTCAAATATCATTTTATGACCTCTCTGCCTTAAAAGGCTTGGCAACAGAAAAGAGCAGAATAAAGCACAAAAAGAAGCCACTGCTGATAGCTTTCCTGGCTTTCAAATCGAATTTTTTCTGTTTCAAAAGACCTCTAACTCTTCATTCTTAAAGTAGTCAAAAAATGAACAAGATTTGGGAAGAAATGTTTCGTATAGTGGACAGCTAATCAGATCTTTGTATATTGAGTAGCTTACATTAACGCGTAGCAACATTAGAACGCATAAAAGTTAAGTTTTTGATCATTTTACCAGATGACAAAGTAATTTAGGTGTTGCTGAGGGATGTTTCTCAGCAGAAATACGAATTAATGGTTTGCATACGTAGGAACACCCCACTGTTAATCCTCACCCGTGTTTCAAACTTGAAAGGAATTCGAACCTGATAGCAGACGTAGATAACCAGCGGACTGGTCATCACACACTCCCGACAGATCTTGTTGCCATGACGACTCGGCTAATCATATGGGACGAAAGTCTGCTACCTTCTCAAGAAGTACCGTGATGTTTGACAAAAACACTTTGGGTCTCTTTTCAAATGACTGGCAGTGCAATTTTATGTAATGTTTACGAATATGCACAAACTGATGAAGACGGCATTGCACTTTATCCTCAAAAGAAACTGGCGTGCGGATGCATAATAACTACCCATTTTTAGTCGGTTTTGAGTTTCACAATCAGCCTGGAGGTCATTATTTGTACCACTCGTAAACTGAAACAACTGTCAACGCCACCGAATTGCTAAAAACCCATTTTGAAGCTTTAAAAATAAACAAAAACCACTCATATTAAGAATTGGGTCCTTGACGCAGAAGCCAAATCCGCAGATTGCAGCCTCTTGTTAAATACTTTGATAATGTCAAGGAGCTTCCTGGAACCAAGAGCGCTGAGCATCACCGGCAGCGCTACATCCTTCACTTATTTTTGATATAATCCACTGCGTCATCTAAATCCCTTTACTAAAGGCAATTTTTGACTTTCGATATCACAATCTGACCTTTCTAATCCAGTCTTCTTGATGGAAAACACATTGTCTACTAACCATTTGTGAGTAGTCCTCACTGTCATTATTTGAAGCAAAGATGAGCTGAGCCATCATCTTGAGTGGGCGCTGTGGCTGGTAGGCGAGTTGGATGCGCAGCTCACCCGCCTCCGCGCGGATGAAGGGATCGGAGTGACTGACCACTTGAAGTCCGAGCTCGTAAAATCGGGCTGCCGGACCCAGGTAACCCGTCGGCAAGTTGGGAAGTCCACGTTCCGTTGCAGCCACCTCGGAGGTGATGAGATACTGCCATATCTGTGCAGCGAAAAGAAATGTGCGCCTATTTGATCCGTAAATAAGCTTGCATCCGTTTTACCAACCTCCCGTGATTCCACCTCGGTGGTTGAGATAAGGCTTCTATGACATCACCTAGGCCATGTGTCCTCAGTCACTCATTCACTGAAAATAGAACCATTTCCAGACTTGTAGGTCCCATAATGCTCGAATAAAAGAATCGTCTATGAAGAATACAATTCTACGAGTCAAATAAGCACCTCTTCTCATCATCTGTACGCTTTGTTAATGGGTCCTAGTTTATATGAATTTTTCAACCTTCAACCATTAAATGTCACGTCTATGTGTGTCCTTCCCTATTCTTCCTCCTTTTTATTCGTTGGAAGGCTCAATTTGGGTCCCCCGCACGTGTGAATATTTGGATTGATGGGATGGGATACTGGGGAAGGGGAGGGGGACTAGGTGTGAAGCAGATGGGCACAGTGCATTGTGTCCACGTGGTAGCACATTCCTTTGTAAGGACAGTTATTTTCGACGAAGGGAATAACAATTTATCTGAGAGGACACACGCACACACGTATCCATCTTTACGTGCAGACCCACGTTTCATCCCTATAGGTTTTTTATCAATGAAACAGAGTGGATGCATTTTACAAACCGAGTATTCCAACATTAGGTTACTTTTTATTGCCTCTTAAGACTTGCCCTGAATAGCCTAAACTTTTTTGTGCTAAAAAGGAGTAAATTTTAGCATTGTTGCATAATATCACTTTTCCAGGTCACTTTTAGGGATGCATTTCCTGATGGGAGACCAAACTTGAAGGTGCAAGCTTACTGGAAGTTATTTGAGAAGTGAAAGAATTGACTCCCCAGGAAGAAGAATGGAAAGACTGTGGGACTAACGGATCTTGTTTTAAGGTTATATTTACCTATCCTACCTCATTCGTTTCAGCCGGTTAAAACGCCGCCTTGATGATGTGGGCTCTCGTCCAGGCTTGTAGCCTCCCAGCGATGGTTGTATATCTTTTTGTTTTGATAAATGACTTGTCGCACAAAGGACGTAGCCGGATTATGCTCCGAAATGACTTAAAAAGAGCAGATGAGGAGAGTAGAAGACTCACTGCAAAGTAGGACGACCCATCGCGTTCAGGGTCACTGGCATAAATCTCCAGACCGAACTCGCCGGCATCAGGAAGGAAGACGGTGATGACGGCCTCGGTGCCACTCTTGAGCACTCGATGCAGGATGCAGTTGTCAAGGGCTTCTTCCGGCAGGAGGCTACAGCGCAGTCGTCCCATCATCCGCGGCATAGGGCGCTGTGAACCGCCAACCAAAGCGAATCGCACCTCTGCGATGCCATTTCGAGCTCTAATTGTTGCTCCACTTGCTTCTGGGCCTATTGGCACCACGTTGAAACGTTTGAACGCCTGCAATTGGAAGACAGGAGGTAACATCTCTACTTAATTCGGTCGTTACCATCGAATCACATAAGTGGTCCTCCGATTTTACGATTGGAGTCCATAGCTTACAAATACACGATACCACCAAAAAAAGGTATCCAGTAAAACCGATCCAATAAACACAATACAACTTTTCCCTAGGTTTCGGCCTACTGCTACTACCGAATGGAAAGCTTGGCATCTCACAGTAGAAGCTGCACACTAGTTGACGTTCCTCTTCCATCTTCGGTAGGTGAAAGCTTACTTTAGTGAACTACGACCATGCAAATACCTAATTACTGTATCACGGAAATACCACAGTCTATCTGAAAGCAGCGTGTCGGATTAGATGTCTCTGGCTAGGTTGTATCGTTAAATCGAGTACAAGGCCAAACACCTCTTTCATGATGGTCAGAAGGAGGCAGGAAACGAAGAACTGTGCAGCTGCAGCCTGATATCGTGATGTTTACCTTTAAGGTTCATTTTGTGCATCTAAAATCTCTACTGAAGAGTCTACCGCACATCTAAAAGTCCCCAATGAAATGCGATTTTTATTACAGAGGTAAATCCGAGGATACTTACGGGGTCACTTTCGGTGCAAGCTATGGACACCACATAGCGAGGTATTTCCTATTTCCCTTCTATAACAAAAATCGGTTTCTAAAGGATGAATTTTGCCTGAACGTCTAGGATAGGATCTCTAGCTCTCGAATGCCATCTTCTTTCTGGGCAACTGCTGAACTGGGATCTGCACCCTTGGCCATCATTTACCGCCACTAAGATAACGAGACCTTCCCAAGACTCATTCTTTCAACACAATTATAGGCGTGAAAATACGAAAGTCGATTAATGGCCCCATCTTACAACAAATGGAAAGAAGAAATATCGTCGGATTGGATCACTAACTCTTAACTATCCCTGTATGTGTGTATGCAAGAGAGTAGAAGGGTAAGGAGACCAACCTCGGTAACGCCATAGCATCCCGTCTGGCAGGGTGGGAAGGGTGGAAGACAAGCATTGGAGGGTGTACGGGCCATAAGACGATACTCGCAGACTGCACCGTAGAGGTTCTTTTCGGCACCTGCTCTACCTATGTCGAACGTCTCCGCTTCTCCACAGACACCATCTATGCCGCTGCCATCGCGTTTCTTCGCATACACCAACAACTTGTAGGCGCCCGGTCTTGGTGGACGGATGTAGAAGGCCACGCAGCATTCACGTGCTATCACTTCTTGGCGTGCGTATCGCCTACATGTGGAAAAAAGAATGGCCTGAGAGGAGTTAGCAGGTTCTTTTCGTCGAAAGTTGGCGTCCTCACGCTTCCGATGCCTTCGTCAATCAATAAATGGTTCCTGATCGGCCGTCAACTCGGAACAAGTAGGCCTAGTCTATCGGCAAAGCATCAAAACTAACGGTTACCCATTTATACTATTCGACGGTGAAAGGCGTTCACGCCATGGGCGAGTTCCTCAGCTCTCAAAAGGCAGGAGAGCGCATGACCCCGGGCATCGTGATAGCTGTCAATTGGGTAAGTTACGAGGAGCTACGTGCTTTGAATGAAACCTGGTCAGGTAAACATTTGCTAGCAGACCGGCTAGCCGATCTCAGCTACTTGCTCGTAAGCCATCTGGATCCTACTTTCGCCCATGTGGTGACTGAATGAAGAGATCTTATGAAACCACAGTGAATGACACAACTTAAGTATTTATTCATCAACCAGACACCGCGAGTTATTTTTGCCCCTTTGTTAATGCTAATCCAAGTTGTTGTAATTTATCACTCTCATAGGAGCAAGCGGGCTTTGTTTTTATGAAGTACGTTCTAAAGATTGTGGTGGAAACCATACTCCATGTCAGCGTACCGACCTAGATTAAAAGATGGGAAGTAATTCTCGACTTCCTTCAACACAAATTAAGGAGGATGGGGTAAACTCACATGAGCGAGGTGTTATGGTAGTGCTCACTCAACTCTGAGTCGTCGAAAGAAAGACCAATCGTAAACAGGAAGGTGTTGTTTGCATCCTTGGGATAGCCAATCACCACTCGCACCTCGGGTTCCGAGAAGAGGATTACGGCGGTGCGATGGCTCACTAGACTCAGATTGTACTTAAAGAATGCCGACTTCACCAATGGCAGCGTCTCAAACTCCTACAATTCAAGCAGCCAATTAGTGGTATCAGAGCGCTCCCTCTACGGATTGCAACCCATGGTGAATTATTGCATCTACTACTGGCAATGCTTTTGATTTTTATGCCAACGTTTAGCGTTTAAAATTGCAGTAAGACAATGAAAAAATAACGCGTCTTTGACAACGAAGGCAGAGATGAAATTTAAAAGTTTACTAGAAGTCTGTCAAAATTGACAATAAGTGACAGTGCACAATTGTTCCTTCCTTGAATAAACAGTCACGTACTTATTACAAGATAAATGCTAAATTATGGAAACTGAGAACAGTGCATTATTATCATTGTTGAATGAATGAATGAATGGATCCCAGGTGACTAGATAAATTCCAGCCAACAAGGAGGTGCAAGTCATACCTCCAATGTAATGGGATGATGAAGGAGTTGCCAGTCCTTGTCGTGCGGGAAGTGCGTATAGATGAGTTGGCTGGGGTTGGTGAGGAAGTAGAAGGTGTCCAGAATGTAACGCACATTCTCCACACTCGCACGTTTCACAATGAGCCGCCGCGCCGCCCAGTGACAATCCACCAGGTGCCACGTCCCGTCCACCAGCACCGCGTTCCATGAGTGTTGACCTGTAGCGGTACCCGAAAATCGCATGCCTGGCGAGTAGTCCGCGCCTTTTGCGTAGCCCAACAACAGCTTGCAGTGCAGGTTGGCGTAACTGCAGGGAAAGCAGAAGAGAGCTACAAATCTCATTCCGTTCGTCAAGCTAGCAACCTTAGCGCCATAGGGACAAAAACAGCGTCCCATCGTGTGCTAGCTGTTGTGGCATAGGATTTTTGCTTCACAGAGTTCTACGAGAATACGGAGTGCTTCGGACGCTAATCCAGTTTCTGCCATGACCAAGAGGAAGGGGGAAAGAACTGAAAGCTATCACCAGGGAACAGAAAAACGGCAATTAAAAATGTAACATGGATAAAGCATTGTACGTCGCCATTTCCCATTTTCGCAGCATCCCACCGTTTCCGCATCCTCAGAAGGTGGAACTAGACCTCAACGTCCAGAAGTGATCACCATTCTAACTAAACTTGTCAAAGACGTTATTGTGAAGCCGAGCATGGATTGATTCATTAACAAAGGTAGTCCGGCCGATTTTGAAACAACCGGCCCCAAAAAGTTGATGACCAAAATGAGTCATGTAAGTAATAATTTTACCTTTTCTCATCTAAGATTTCGCGCTATTCTAACACTGCAATTGTCATTTTGTACACTGAGAGGGCAGTGAACCCACCCTTAGCCATCAAAAGTGAAATGGCGAAGAAGTCGAAAAAGGGGGTTCACATAAACCAAAATAAGGTCACGGTATTTAAGGAGCGAAGGTGAAGCCGGACAAAAAGAGGAGAAAGGAAACGATGGAAGCAACCAATTGTCAATGCTTCTTTATCCACACCTTAATGTATTTTTTAATTGGTGTGTTAGAGAGGAAAAAAGATGTGCATTCTCCCACTTTATTGCGGGAAATTAATCCCATTTCTCCAAGTCTTACTGTAGGATTTGCACTGATCCAAACGGGTTAGAAAGGGGCCAGTTCTACAATCATATGTACCTCGGGATGTCGTGCACATAAAGAAAACACGGGTAAAAAGATGGCCCTCACTTCATTTTAAAAAGTCCACTATTTGGGCATGAAAGCTGAGCCACAGGTAAGCCTGTTTTCGGGTCACCAGGAGGCGCTTTTTACAATCAAGGTACGCGCTGGAGGGAACAGGAGTGGATAGTGAGGGTACACGAAGGCTGCACAAAAAGACAACAATCTGATGTTAGAACAAAGAAACATGATCACTTGCACAGGTACTTCCATCGGTGGTAATGCAGTAAACACAGATGGGATGGAAAGAAGAAGGGAGCTACACGACGCTGGAGTTTTGCATACCTTCCACTAAATGAACAGGGAGTGGTATCACATAGACGGTGTACTCGTGAAATGACATGAAAAGAGAGATGCATTACTCCGGCATTACCTCTAACTCTTGCATCGTCGGCAACCGTCCCGCACGTGATTTCAGCCTAGGATGCGTGAGCGCAGACGTAAAGCAAACTCACCGTTGTTTAATGGAGTGTGTACGGATGGACTGTAACATGGCGCTACACCCGCCCTTGGTGTGGGTTGTAGTGAACCGAATGTACCAACTGAATTCACTGGAGCGTAAAATCTAAATTTATTCAAGTTCAATAAAAACCCCTCAAAATGCTTATTACTTTGAAATACACTTCAAAATCACTTCCACAGCGGCCATTTTGGAATTCAATCCAGTTTTCGAGTCGATTCTTAAAAGAGCTGCTACTATTGCTATTAGGCGTTGAAGCGACCACGGTTCATCTGCCGTCATTGAGGGACTCAAAAGCGCTGATGTGCATTTGAGTGGGTTTCCAACCATTAATCTTGGCAACCACTGGCTAATCATTATCCAACCGATCAGAATCAGAAAATTCCATCCCAAATTTTCGACAAAAAAAAACAGAATATTGGGCAGTTAGACAGAAATTTCGACGAATTTATTTTTAGGTATTGCATAAACGTTGGGATGCTCTGTGGCGAAAATGCCCTTTTTTAAAAAAATGGGTCTGTGGGATGGAATGTGGTAACAAACAACACCGCACTGACTAAAAAAAAGCACGAAAGCCCGACTTGTTGTGATTTGCTGACAGATATCGGTAACGAAAACACGGTCTTCTGTAACATCAGGTATACCGGCTCGTTTTTTCAATTAATTACCAAAGCACGCACCGACAAAGAATTTGGAAGATTTGCGCATAGGTAGATTTTCCCGTTCGAATGCCCATAAGTATCTCCTCCGGTGAGCCGGGAGTGACATTATCAAAGTTCATTTGATGCAGATCCTTGGTGCAGAGCCAGAGGAAGATAGCGCGCACTCGCTCCAGATCAGAGGTGATGTTTCTGGCGTAGATCAACTGCCAGATCAGTTGGTTGAAGCTGTTCTGCTCCTGATAGGATACGGCCATCGCATGCTCGTCCACCTTCTGGAAAGCCTATAAATGTTATATATGACACGTGACGTGAAACGGTGACTCTATTATGCATTAATTGAAGGTCATCTTTTTCGATTTTTGATGAATGGTTAAAATTTGATAGTGCTAATTCGATTGGTGCAAAAGTGCACTAGATTATTGATTTGCTTAATCGACCAATCACCAATAGGCTATCCTTGTTCAATCACCCAATCAAAAAAGGGTTATTATTATTAAAATTTATTTTTAAATCTACCAACAAAAAGCAGGAACAGTCTATGAAAGAAAATCTTCATTTTTTAGTTTCAGGTGCTAGACACTTAAATGGAAGGCAGACATAAATTTTACGGCCTCTTTTATGCATTTCATTTAGTTGCATCCGCTGGCGCAAGAATTTGCATGCCTTTCTATCAATATGGGCCTGTGAGTCACAATTCTAGAGACTAGTGAAAGTGTTTAAAACTTCAGCAAATTCAAAGCGATCTTATGGAAACTTCGGCTGTTGAAGTGAGTCACCAACCTAAGTAGAGATTCGCCTAATTGCCAAGTCCAGCAATCATTTGA